CCGTCCTCAACCTCCTCGACTACGGCTACTCCAAGGTCCTCGGAAAGGGTCGTCTCCCCGCCGTCCCCATCGTCGTTCGCGCCCGCTACGTCTCCGCTGAGGCTGAGAAGAAGATCAAGGAGGCTGGTGGTGTCGTTCAGCTCGTCGCATAAGCGCCAGAACGATACGATACGATACGATCAACCATCACTCACACAACACGATTGTGCATGAAACGGCGTCTCGGAATGATACAAAAGGATACCATAACGGCAATGATTGGGATGGATCTTCAAGTCCGCAGTTACCCTAACGGGTCTGCGTTTGACTTGCGTCAGCGTGGTGGCTGAGGAATGTTTCATAGACAATATGACCGTTCCTGAACAAACCTTTGGCCTTTGGCTATCCCGTCCATGCCATGCGTGGGTGTGGCTCGGCATCGCTGTGCTATCGCATAGCTGCCTCCGTGATGTCGTGATGTTATGGCGCTACGTGCTGTGAGGTGAAAATTCTGTGGTACTAACTTGATGAGTCCAGTATACCGCGTACTTTTTGGCCTGACAGCCTGTCGTCCAAACAACGCAATTTGCGCTTGAAGCACTGGCATCGATGCAATTACATCGAGTAGAAAGTTCTATCGCATCAGATATGCGCCTGCGATCGTGACCTTTGGCTATTACTCCAGCCGCGAACTCATCACAATGGCCTAGCCTTCAGTTAGGCGTGCTCATTAGTCTGTATCAATCAGAAACCAGATGTTACTCATCCAAATTCTGAACATCTTACTCATTCCGTGTCTGAATCCGCTCACCTAGAGCATTTGACGCTGCGCTGCAATAATAACGCCAACAAAGTATTTGCGTACACCCTCCTCCGCAAACCAAAGCTCATCAACCGCTTCGATCTGCACTTACATCACCTTACCATCGTCAGCGCGCTGCATGAGAATTGAAACGCGTTCCTGAAAACTCTGGCTAAGCTGCCGGTTCTACCCTTTGGTAACGGAAACTCACTTCTTCGTCTCATAATATAGACCATCACTGTCATCAGGCGTGCATGGATTGGCCGATATACAATGCGTCTGCACATTGACGAAGGCCACTCAATTCTACAGATGAGGGAAAACCTGCGACCACGCCGGCGTGTCATACACGCCTTTCGGCACATTCCTAATGCTCACAAAAGCCTCAACCACAATGTACGCCCGACTCACGATATAACTTGCGCCACAAAGTATACACAAAAGCGTAATGACCGCAGTACTAAGCCAGCCAAGCGACCGCTTATTGTAAGCCACCCAGATCGTGTCAATGAACGGAAAGACATAAGCCAAGAGATTGGTGACCAGCCAAAACGCCGCACAAAAGGTTACCCATACAGAACTCAATCGCCAGAAGAGCTGCTCTATCTCACTAGGAAAAAAGTAGTTCCACGCTGCAACGTGTATCGCACCATATGCGCATGAAGCTCCCCATAGTACCATGCCCATGATTAAGGATTGGGTGCGGCGGATTAGACCATCGTTTGGCCAGTCTAGAGCGTGAGATTGTACGAGTTCGGTGACGTGGGGTATGCTGTATGTAGAACCCGAGATGGCACTTTCGCGAGCTGGGGTGAAGCGAGTCCGTAGAATTGGATACAGCAGCAAAGCTTCTTCGGCAAGACGTCTCATTTCAGAACCGGCTTCCGTCTCAGGATCCCGCTCCAAATGCTGAATGTTAGGACGAGTCCCGAGATGACCGGATGCACGAGGTTGCGCTGTACTGCTGCAACCAACAAGATCATGATCTTCAGATCTTGTCTCTTCTCCACCATAGTAAGCCAATTTCTCTAGTTCTGGCGTCCGGACCCGAAATATCGCAAACACGCCCTGTGGCACCTTGCCACTCATCCGACTCGCTAGATACATGTACGCAGCCAAAGGCAGCCAGTCCCCTTTGAGTAGCGTGGGAGACGTCACCTGCCTCGGTTTGTGCCACCAGAGAACATACATGATGAGCGCGCAAACGACGTGCGCGACAACGTGTACCTCGAGTAAAGTAGTCGGCAGCCCAGACGCAGTCCGACTGATGACCTGGACAATCATCCACCCGGCCTGGATGCACACGAGTAGCTTGGCAAGGCCGTCTGCTTTGTTCTTGTCTTTTATATCGTCGAGGGAAACGTATGGAATGTGTCCGCACTGCGCGAGTAATGCAGCTCCTTTGGCTGTTAGGGTGAGGCGTTTCGCACCATTGAACAAGACCGCGCTGCGAGTGTCGGTGTCGTCGATGTCGAGTGCGAAACCGCCCATTGTGCCGTAGAAACCGTGTGGAATAGTCCATGGAGTAGGACGGTGGTGGTTATGGTCTTCAGATACTACTGCTGTCTGGGAGCTGTCAGTTCGGGAGCCAAAGCAAGCATGGTTTGGCTATGTACTTTTTCGCGAGCTTCCGCCCCATCTTCTTTCTCCCTCTTTGCCTCTTCTATCTCCAAACACAGCTTCCGTGCAGACGCTAGTTGTCGCCAGGCTGTGTACACCATCAGCTCTGGTGCGAAGAGGCCCAGAATGCACCATTGAAGCTCTCTTAGTAGGACCCGGCAATTGCCTTCGGTCTTGCGCGGTACGTTCAAGTGCACAGCTGAATACACGCATAAGCCGAGTGTGGCGAAGCAGCTTATGAGCAGGGAGATGGTATCTCGTTGGTTGTCCTCTTTTACGAAGCCTACGGTATCTGTAGTGTTGACGTTGCCGGTGCTGATGCCGGAAACACTGTGGGCGGAGAGGGAGATGAACGCAAAGCTGCACGGAACTAACACCATGGTTCAAGACAACAAGCGCAGGCCTGATCGGAGAAGGTAGGGTGAAAGACTACGGGGCGCGCCGCTTATACTAAAGCCCGATGAGTGTCCATGCTGCGCCGTCCGACTGCAGGCTCGCATGGTTGAGCGGCAAGTCGAATGGGGGCCGATTCAGATATGGAGTTGTGTACCGAAAAGTCTCGAGAACATGGTATCCTGCATGTAGGAATGCGTATCCATGGACAGTGTAACGAATAGGAGCGGGCGGACGGTCCTCTTGATGAGTACCTACGCTGCGCCGCAAGAAGGTGAGACGGGCGCGTGCCGTCCCTTCTCAACCGGCCCCCACCCTGTACTTCCAAGGTTACGTCGATACCAGATGCAGCCGCTGTCAGGCGGCTGATAACACTCACCAAAAACGCACTAACATGCCACTATGCGCAATTGATTGGAGACGGAGCAGATATTCGAGGATTGTGGAACGAAAGGATCGTTGTGGAGATCAGGCGTCTTCCAAGGTTGCGTCGAATTGATTCGTGCATCGGCTTTCCTGTTCCTGCGCTAAATCACATGCACATGGGCTGTGCCGCTTGTACTTCGACTTTGCATCCCACCTCATGTTTTCACGCCCAGAGAATTACCATTTTTAAGATGAGTGTTCGTCCTCGACGACCTGCAGAACAGGTCGGTTCAACAGCGAAAACCCAGGTACGCATGCGTCTACCGCGTATGTGCATGCCAAGGCTAATGGTTGCAAGGCTGAGCCTCGCGATCAAATGGGAAAAAGGCAACGAGGCTCGTTGTTGACGTGGGATGAGATACGTAAGATAGTTGGTTGCATGGTGTTTCTATAGCTGACCGATGTTGTAGCGAGTTGGTACCAGTATATTCATCATTAGATTACTTATCATCGACATCCGCTCACTAGGGTTAGAGACAATGAGTACATTCTGTCAGGCTATAGGTAATAATATTGGTATCCTCTTTATAGAAGTTCTCTAAGGGCGACATCCAGGGCAATCTCAAAATCTTACAAACAGTCCTTGAAAAGTATCCTCGGCATCCACAATGAAACCGGTAAGATTATACACAATGCCTGCAGGAGGCGAACTGACTTTTCTTTAGTAAACATCTTCTCGCACCTTATAGGATCAGCACTATTCTTCGCGCTTCCTATCCCCGTATACTATTCCTTGCAGCCAAGATACGACACAGCAACCACAGCGGACGTAGTCGTATTCTCAACCTTCTTCTTTGGAGTCGCTATCTGCTTTGCACTATCCGCAACGTAAGTCTTGTCACACCTTCTTCCACTGGTACCCAGGAAGTGACACACAAAACAGTTTCCACGTCGTCAACAACCACAGCGAAAGCGTCCACGTCTTCGGTAACCAGCTCGACTACGTAAGCAAACAACCCCCCCAACCACTCCACACAGCCACTGAGTACTTTAGCTCGGCATAGTGATACTAATGTGGGGTTCCACCATCCCATGCGTATACTACGGCTTCTACTGCACACCGCAACTACAAACAACATATTATACGCTCGTGTCCGTCTTAGCAGGAGCCTGTGTCTACGCAACACTGCACCCAGCTTTCCGTCGCCCAAAGTATCGACCCTACCGCGCGGCCATGTATGCCGGTCTCGGTCTCTCCTTCATCATTCCCATCGTGCACGGCTTGCTGAAATTTGGTTGGGAAACGCAGATGTGGAGGATGAGTTTGGACTGGATGGCGTTGATGACGACGTTTAATCTTACGGGTGGCGCGTTGTACGCTATGAGAGTAAGTTGGTTGAGCCTATTACTACTACCACTACTGCGTCCGCAAGAAAAGGAAATGGGGGACTGACTACATGTAGATTCCTGAGAAATGGTATCCGTACCGGTTTGATGTCTGGGGTTCTAGTCACCAGATTATGCATTGCTTGGTTGTTTGTGCTGGTGTTGCGCATTTGTTTGGGCTGCTGAGGGCTTTTGATCATGTTCATGGGTATGGGGATGTTTGTGGGGTGTAATGAGGGAGTTGACGTTGTCCCTTGTTACTATTTCGACACCAACGCTCTATTGGCGGCCATCTACAACATGTGAGCACTAGAGATATTCTGCGAGACACTGCTTCACTTTAGCCTTTCTTCTGACCTGATAATTTGGTAGTCGCAGCAGTAGTAATAGACGTGATACCAACGACTTGGTAGAGTCGATGTGACTAGACTCATAGCAGCGACCTGGGTATCGCTCATCCAGTCTCTGTCACATCTCTCCCACCTTCCTCGTCACCATTATATCGGAGCAGAGACTCACCCTTCTGCTCTTCTCCATCCGCCGCTAACTCCTCAGTGTCGTCTTGCTGATTCTCAACAACATTATTCGCACTACCACCACCCTTACCATCCTCACCACCATCAACCCCAACCCCAACCTCGTTACTTCCCTCCAATTCCTCCCCCTGCACAACCACATTAGTAACCCTTAGCACACCCCTTCCACCACCATGCCCCTCCGGTACCCGATAACTCCTCGGCAGCGTCCGACTACTCGACTGCGAAGTTATCGCACGAACAGGACGGATGAAACGCTCATTGACTTGGCGTTGAGTACGGAAGTGTCGTTCGAGAGTTTCGTGCGCAGACAAACTGGGCTGTGTGTGGCCCGATGAGGGGGTCGTTTCGGGACGGGAAAAACCAGCGGGCAGCTCATCCACGCGTTCAATCGGAGTAGTACTCGTGTCGACACCGTTCGGTGGTCCATGACCACCTGTATACCGAACAGGCGTGCTAGCCACCTCCCCTTGATCCCGTTCAAGCGCCATCATCAAATCCCGTATCTCCTTTGCTGCATCCTGTTGCAGAGGTAAATCTTCAAGTTGCGTTTGCCGTAACCGGTCGCTGAGACTCGAACCTGAGTGCTCTTGTCTAGGCCCACGCTGAACCTCTTCCCCTCTCTCTCCACCCGAAGATCCGGTATCTGACACAGCTACAGAAACCGGCAAAGGAGTCATCACCCTAACACTCCCCGGCGCCCTCTGAATCATCTGCGAAAGACCAACCGGCGGACCAATCACACTCTGCGTCCGACTTTCTAGGTTTGGGACAAGAGAAGGCGGGTTAGGGTTAGGCTGTGTGCTGTCTTTTCTCCTCTTCGCTTTGGGTTTAGGGACGAGAACGGGGATTTCTGTGGGGTTGTTGATGTTGATGTCTTCGATGTGGTGGGTTTGCGGCGCAGATGGTTCCGCTAGGCGGAGGGCCATGAGGCGTTCTCGGAGTCTGGCTTCTTCTTCGTGTTTTTGGGTTCGGTGTATTTTGTGGGAGAGGTAGGCTATGGTGTATTTCTTTGGGGTTGTGGGTACGGCGGGGGTGGTGGGTGTGTTTGTGTTGGTTGGATTGGGGGTGGTGGTGGTGTGTAGTGGTGTGACGGTTCCGGGTCGACATGCAAAGGTGCTTAGGAGCCGGTTCATCATGTTCTTTCTCCCTGCATTGGTTTCCCCAGAGGAAGTCCTCATGGCGAACTCCTCGTCTTCTTCCTGCTCCGCCATCCTTCTCTCTTCACCAGTCAAAGCGTCCAAATACCGCCGCCTAACCTCATCCTCACGCTCCCTGTCACCATCTACACCACCACCCTCATAGCTCTCCCCCACAGACCCAAACACCCTCTCGACATCATACTGCACAGGCGAAGAAACCGTCCGTCTCCTCCCCCTCCCTTCACCCCTCCTCCTCAGATTCCGCTCACTCTCCGTATGATACCCCTCAAGCCCAAGCCAATACTCGCTCGTCTCTTGAGCACTCATACCGTGATAAGGATGATTAGGCGCATACGTATACCCCCCTTCTACACCATAACCATCATTGTTGTATCCACCATTTCCTTCCTGTCTGTGATCAATCCGGTAACTCAGGCTCGACGCCGTGCCCTCCGCAGAAATCAAATGCCGACTCGCATTAAACGGACTAATAGGCGAAATCGTTCTATCAACAGGATATATCGGGAAGCGGGCGTGCGGCGTAGGCGGTGTTACGGCGCGGTAGTATGGGGAGGGGGATTGTGTGGGTCGGGGTGGTGGTGGTGGTGGAGGGGGCTGGGAAGAGGAGGTTGGTGAGGACGGTGCGTCTTCCGGGTAGGGGTTTGATGGTATCGATAGTCCGGGGGATGGAATCGATAGTCCCGGTGAGGAGTTTGGGTGGATGATTAGGTTAGGAGGGGAGGGGAAGGGCGGGGGAGGTGTGGTTCGTGCGGGTTGTCGGGTTAGGGGGAGGAGGAAGTCGTCTTCGGGGTAGGGGTTTGAGGGGAGGGAGATGGAGTCTTCGTTTCCTGGGCTGGCGGGATAGGGTGGTTCTTCGTCTTCGTTTTCTTCGTCTTGGATAGAAGTATGAGGTGCTTCTTCGTCTGGCGCCTCTGCATCTGGCGCTTCCTCATCTGGCGCTTCTTGGTTTCGCGCCTCACTGTCTTGCGCTTCTTCATCTTGCGCTTCTGCGTCTGGCACCTCCCCGTTCCACTCCTCCGGACTCATATTCTGCAGCATACTCTGCAGCTCACGCCCTTTCTTCCTTCCAACCTGCACATCTCCGTCAGCAACCACTCATCCCCTTCCTCACCCCAAAAGTCAATCACATACCGTAGCATACCTCCCCCCACCCTCATACATCCTCTGTACCTCATCCAACCCCCTCCTCCTCGCCGCCCCACTATTCAAACTATGATACGCCACGTACATCTCTCGCTCTCCCTCTCCATCCCCACCGGACACTCTCTCCTCCGCGATACGATGTTCCATACGCATCAACCTCTCTTCCTCCCTATCCATATCCAACTCCCATTCTCCACCCCACGTCCCGTCGTTGATATCCTCTCCGCTTAAATCTCGATCTCGATGGCGGAGGGGTTCCATGCTATCAGACCTTCCATCACAGTCAACATCCCCATCCCCATCTCCTTCGTTGCCCGATTCAAGGTCCCAGTCCACGGGACTCAGATCCCGTAAGTCCTCTTCTGACTTATCCACGCCGGTATAGTACAAACCCAGGCTCGCAGACAGTGCCGTTCGTGCATTGTCGCCCCGGCGTCCCAGGTCTTCTCTGCGGCGGAGGGAGTTGGGGATGGAGTTGGTGAACTTGCCTTTGAGGGAGACGACAGTTACGTTCTGGCGGATTGTGGCGATGCGGTCGCGGAAGCGGGCGAGGTATGCGGCGGTTTGTTCGGGGGACATTGTGGACGTTCGCGCTGGTTCATGGGATGTTGACGAGCAGGTGTTGTACCCGCGGCCGCTGGGACTGGGACCTGAACCGACTCCTGGATTCTATTACAACTACTGTGTGCTGTGGGCACTCATATCCTGGAAGCGAGACACGAGGTCCGCACTGCTTGTAGACTGGCTAAGTTGGTGGGTTGAGTGTTGTTGGGCTGTCAAACGTCAGTGGTTTTGACATCCTTACCCGTACATTGGACCCTTATACCCATAACCATATAGTTATCAGCACATAAGGCACGGCACAAAAGCAATACGCACCAATCTTAAAGATAAGTTTCATTAGGGTATCCACGCCACAACTACACCTTCTCTCCTACAGCCAGCAAGTTCAGCAGTACTTCCTTCGCCTTGTCTGGCTCGACGCTTCCGTCTGGGGCTCTAATCACCATCTGCCCCACAAACCAGCCGACCTTCTTGACTTGACCCTTTTCGGTGATGTCTCGAACCATGTCGGGTTTCTCTTCTAGTAGAGTCTGTGCTAGCTTGATGTACTCTTCCTGGCTGAGTGGTTGCAGGAGAAGGTTCTCTTGGTGAAGGACTTCGGATACGCTGCGCTCGTCTCCCTCAAATTTGATAGCGAGTAGGCGTTTTGCGGAAGGCGATGTGACCTCTTTGCGACGTATGTGCGAGATGACACCGGCGAGATAGTCGGCCGGGACGCGGTTAGGGTCCCAAGGTTCGTCTTGGAAGAGAGAGCCGAGTTCCATCAACACCCTGGTCACGCGTTAGTTTAATTACGACGCGTAGCATAGCAGATGAACATACCAGTTCCCGGTGATCTTGCCCAAGGTTTCAAGCGGAACGTCGTTCTCGTGCTGCTCGGTTTGGCGCACCAGGCAGCGGATGACGTCCAGATAATACTCCAGTCGTTCACCATCGTCCATGGAGAGAAGTGTGATGGCATCCTTGGTAGTGAGTCCGTATGTGTTGGCAAGCATGTCCACATTCACATCGGGCAGCTTGGGAAGGGTGTTCCGGAGGTGTTCAACGAGATCCTAGCAATGGTTAGCATACTCTTCATGCCAGAAGTAAAATTCGTGCTTACATTTCCGATGATGACCGGAGCAATATCTGGGTCCGGCATGTAGCGGTAGTCGATCTCGCCCTCTTTGCCTCTGAGACGTTTGGTAGTCTTGCTTCCAAGAGTCCATCCGCGAGTCTCGCCCTCAACGACACCTCCACCCTCGAGCAAGTCGATCTGTCGATCACGCTCCGCGATGATGGCATCTTCCACAGCCTTGACGCTTGCCAGGTTCTTGATCTCAGTTCGCTGTCCTAGACCGGTAACACCGTGGTATGAGTGGCTAGCCTCCGAGGACTCTCCTGCACGTTGACGAACCGATACGTTGACATCGGCACGCAGTCCGCCCAACTCCATGCCCGTTGTGCAGGCATTGACAGCCTTGAGTATGTTTTGTATTTTGCGAACGACGACAGCAGCGACCGTGGGATCGTGGATCTGAGGGAGGGTGATGATTTCGATTAGAGGATGCGAAACGCGGTTGAAGTCGAGTAGGTGGGTCGAAGGGGGTTGCTGCACGGTCTTTGCGGTATCCTGCTCCATCTGTATCTGCTTGATGCCAATCTCGACAGGCCCTGGTTGCGGGGCAGCGCCAGGCGGGAAGTCATGAGGGTATAGGGTAATCTTGCCGTTCGTCGCGAAGGGCTCGTAGTACTGCGTGATCTGGTAGCCGGCGGGCTGATCTTGGTAGAAGTAGTGCTTGCGGTCGAAGCTGCTCTTGGGCTGTATCTCGCACTGGAAGGCTATAGCGGCGCGGAGGGCGGGTAGGAGGGTTTCCTTCTGGAAGTGAGGCTGAGTACCGGGAAATGCGACGTCGAATAAGGAGACATGGGTATTGGGTGCCTCGCTGACTGAGGTCGCAGCACCAGAGAAAAGCTTCCGCGCGGTGTTGAGTTCGGCATGGACTTCGATTCCAACCGTCAGCTCCCACTTCTCTAGTCGCACATCTTTGCCCTTTTTCGAGGACTTCGAGGCGCCAGAGGAGGCGCTCTTCTCTTTCTTTTGTTGCTTCGCAGCATCTTTCAGCTGCTTTCGGAACGCTGTGCCATCCTGGGTCGGTGGTGGCTGGGTCTCAGTGTGGAGAGATCGTGCTGTGTGACGCGTGGGAAGTTTGGCAGCGCCCAATTGAGACTGTCTAGTCCGGCGCAGACATGAATGACATATGTAGGGTTGCTTCGAGGCTGTAGCAAGAGAGTTGCGCGTGGTGCGGGCGAACATGACGTGAAGTATGGCGAGCAGCAGTTCTGGTGCCAATGCACAGTTGCGGGCGGTCTGTGCTCACTTCCGAGCCACCTTGGACCAGCGACACGCGACGCCAACCACCCAATACTTCAACGCCAGGAAATGAAGCCGACGCCAACGCCAGAACCTCTCGCGTCGCTTGTTCCACTTGAACACGTTTCGACGTCGACCGAACGGCCGACGAGCTCGACGAGCCCTACCGCCATGGTCTCGATGCCAACGCATTCACAACGACCGTCCGTTTTAGGTCACCTTGTGGAGTAACCTCTGGAGTTTCCTGATTGCCCACTCAACAAGGGCTTGTCTCTTTCCAAGTCGCCTTCGTTTCACCCTCTCGAGGTCGATAAGACGGAGGTTGGCAGCGACTCCGCCTAGATTCTCGGGCACTGACAGGGTCGGATCCGATTCGCATGAGCTTCCCACCGCGGCATGAGTCTCCGGCGCCGCGCTCGGGGTGTTTTGGTGTACAGTAGTCGGCGCGTAGACGTGAACATAACAGGTAACGTTCTGATAAAAGGTATGCTCACCCGCGTTAGGGCGAGGAATGTCGAAACTACCGACGTTTGCCATGCGAGTCGGTTCGTTCAGCCCTCCTCTTGCGGACACGAGCCTTCAGTCTTCTGAAACTGTTGCGGCACCTCTGCCACGCTTCTTCGTCTTTCGGTCTGTCGGCGGCGTGTACGAAGTTCCCTGGATGAACATACACCCCCGGCCAGCGAGAGAAGTTCGCCTCTGATCCAGCGTTGGAGCCTTGGGAGAATCGCACGCTCCGATAACTCCGACTGCTGCGTACACTGGTCCCCATCCGCGCAAATGGGGTGAATGTTCCGGGCTCGAGCTTGCTGAGACGTACGCGAGTCTTGACCGAACAATCGAAGCCTCAAAACTTACCCTTGATGATGTTCTCAGCAACAGCTTTGGCGCTGTTCAGGAACTTCTTCGTCTGTTCCTTTCTCTTCTCCTTCTTCTGTGTCCTTGCTTGTATACGCTCTTCTCGTTGCTGTCGTTCTTCTGGTGTGCTAGTATCGGGTTGTGTCTTCGACTGCGACGAGGTGGAAGGACCGGCAGTGTCTGTCTGGGGTGTAGCGGCGAAGTCGGTGTACTTGTATTCTCGTTCAGTCGGATCAGGTTCTTTGTTGGCACAGTCTTTCCCTGAATCAGCACCACAGTCACCTCCAGTATCGCCTTTTGAATCGGCTCCGCGATCTCCAGATGTCGTTCCGCAATCGCCTGAAGATGTCGTCCCAGAGTCGGCGGCGACGAACGAAGACTCCATTCAAAGCCTTGATGTGTGTTTGGCGTCGCTCAAAGATGGAGCTTGAGTGTAAGAAGCGTGGCAGTCAGACGAATCTTCTCCTTCAGCTTAGCCGCCTCGTGGCGCTTCGCTTTGACTGCAGTAGCGGTCTCGGCTCGGACTGCCCTTCGTTGTCGCTTCTTCTCTTTGCGTTCCGCTCTCTCACGCTCCCACTGTTCTTCTTGTTCTTTGCGTTTGCGGTCCGCTGCCGCTTGCTCCTCGGCTGTCAATGGTCGGCTGGACGAGGAGGAGCCTTGTGGGATGTAATCGGTTCCTGAATCTCCGCCTGAGTAGCTGCCGCCGTCACCTCCGTCACCTGCGGTATGGGATGTGCTGCAACCGCCGGAGTCGCCGCCGCCACAGTCACCAGAACTATAGCTTGCGCTACCACAATCACCGCCGTCTGCCATATACTGATCTTAAGTTCCGAGGTGAAGCTTGAGCCGGAGCAAGTTGACGTGGAGCCAAAATTTGGTCTTCTTGTTACCCGCGTGTGGGACCTTGGCCTTGGTGTCTGCTTTGGCCTTGTCTCGAACTACCTTCCGCTGTCGCCTCTTTCGCGCACGCTTGATCTTCAGTCTCTGCCCTACCGTTCCGTTCTTGGTGGTGAAATTGGTACTGGTATTGTAAGATGTGGAGAATGGTGTGCTCGATGCGTGATGTGTGCTGGTTGCGCAGTGTGTACTAGTTCCACAATCCCCGTGTGACATGTAAGGTCGGACGTAGTATTCCAGAACGAGAAACCGATCTCAAGTCTAGAGATGAAACCTGAGCTTGAACAAGGTGATGTACAGCCGAAGCTTAGCCTTCTTGCTAGTCGTATCCGGGAGCTTGGCCTTGGTGTCTGCTTTAGCCTCGTTTCGGACCTCCTTCCGTTGTTGCTTCTTCTCTGCGCGCTCCTCTTTCTTCTTCTGCAGTTCTTCCTTCTCGGCTGTGAGATGACGACTGGGAGAGCTAGGGGCCCAGATGGGTGTGCTTGCAGACGAGATAACACCAGGTGTGCTCGCGATTGCTGGCGCCGACGGTGCGCACGCTGTACTAGCTCCACAACCTCTAGATGTGGCTGCACAGGTCATAAAAGGTCGGTCGTAGTCGTCTACCAAAGACGGAAGATACCAAAGAAGTCGGCTATCTTAGCACGGAGTCCTTTCTTCAACGTACGGTTCGCTGATCTCTCCGCTCTAGCTTCTCGGCGTCTGAGTTTGCGTAGTCGTCGCTCTTCGATGATCCTTCTCCTCTCGCGTGGTTCGAGTGGATTGGTGGCTCTCGGTCGGTGATTCGAAAGTGTTCGGCCTTGTCCCTGGACGGGGGCTTGGAGTACACCAGAGGCTACAGAGCTTGTTACACAAGTAGCAGTCGTGCTCATAAACACACTCAAGACGTCAGAGTGTAGGCGTGGAGGTGCTCAGAAGTTTCCGTTGAAGATCTTCTTCAGCTTGAGGTGTATCCTGTCGAGTTTGCTCGGCGTATTGATTCTTCCGTTACGGACCCAAGTCTTCCGCTGTGCTTTGCGGGACTGTGTCTTCTCGAACTTGCGGAGGCGTTGGCGGGCTACGTGTAGTCTCTCGGTTGCGGTGAGAGGCCTGCCGGTGAAGTGAGTTGTTCGGGGGTCGTGGCCCTGGTCGAAGATGGTGCGGCGTCTGTGGGTGATCCTTGGGCAGTATGTGCGCGTGTGGCGTTTGGGTTGGGTTGTTTTGGACCGTCGGGTGTCAAAGGGCATGTACTCAGTGGGTTTGGTGCTGCATGGACTGCAGGTGTCGTTGAAGGCGCTGGTGAGGGTGATGTAGGTTACGAAGGACTGGAGGTCGAGCGTGGTAGGGGAGGTGTGCAGGTATTGCACAGGATGTAGCTAGGTTGATGCTGAGCTGCGAGACAGCTTGGTTGAGGTGGTGAGTGTGATGCTGATCAAGAGTATGGTGAGTTGATGATAGGGATGTGCTATACAATAACGTTGTCACAGCAAACGATGCTTCGGTGTGGATGGGTGGTCATGCAGTGAGGTGTGTTGGGGTGAGAGTGTAATGGAGGAAGTTTGTTTGGGTCTTGCGACAGATAAGAAGCTAGCATCTGTCGTGACTACCTTGAACATGAGGGCCTGTGGGTGCTATGGAAGGCATCAGTCGCACAAAACAGGACGGAGCCATCACTGCTATCTGTCCATTAGGGAAATGGCATTCCAATTGCAATTAACGTGCAACACCACTGGTGCTCACTCTTGTTTGGTCGAAGCAGCGAAAGCATATCGAGGGGATTCTCATATACATATATACTACCGTCAATTAGTTCAGTCAAAGACATACTGTCTGACCAAACAAACCAGATCCCGGCCGTGTGCTGCATGAAACTCCACCATACTATCCCCATGCCGTGTAAACTCGGAAAAACCGCATTCAAGGAAACACAAACTTCCGATCCCCCATCATCCCCCAAAGTTCCTGAATAACAGCACGCTGATCCTCGCGCTTAGCATTGCGCACAGCAAAGTAAAGACGACCCTCAAGCTCTGGGTCCCAATCACCGGGGTTAGCGCTCACAACAACACCGCCAGCCTCTTCCAGAATACACCACCCAGCCGCAACATCCCAGGAGTACACGCCTCCTTCCCAGAAGGCATCGAGCATGCCGTGTGCGACGTAGCAGAAGTCCAACGCTGCGGACCCGTTCGAGCGGACTGACTTGCACATGGCGCCGCCCTCGACTTTGGAGGTGAGGAGAGCGTTGTGAATCGAGGTGCGCAGTGCCCAGTTGGGACCAGAGCGCTGATTACCCCACTCAACGGCCATGAGACAAGAGTTAAGCGATGGCATCGGTTTAGGAATGGGGTTGATGGGTAGCTTAATCTTGCGGTTCGTGAAGGTCTTCGTCAGGTATGCGCCTTGGCCCTTGATCGCATGGTACATGTCTCCGCGGAAAGGGTTGAACACAACTCCAACGACTGGCTTCTTGTCGATTGTCAGAGCCAGTGAGATGGCGCAGTTAGGCACGCCGAGGGAGAAGTTCAGTGTGCCATCGATTGGATCCACGATGAATGTCGGCGTGTCCGCGAGCTTGGTGCCATGCTTGAACGTCTCTTCGCCGAGGAAGGCACATTCGGGGAAGGCCTCAGCGAGGCGTCGTTCGGCCATGGCTTCGATTTGCTTGTCGAATTTGGTGACTACGTCAGATGTATTGTTCTTGTGGACAGTCGTGATGATGCAATCCTCGGCTGCGACCATGATCTTTCCTGCATCCTTCGCAATGTCAATCAGTACACTACGGACACTGTTGAGACAACTCCTGGTGACGTTGTGCTTGGATAGGACGGCATCGAAGTCGAAGGCAGCTGATGAGTCTGACGCAGAACTAGCCGGTACAAGTGGTGTTGTTGTTTCAATGGATGATGCGGGGCTGGACGACTCGGATGAGTCTGTTTGTTGAGATGCCATTTTGGTAGAATTGATGAGACTACTGAAGGAACGACTTGAGGAGTTTGTGAGTAGTGAGTTGGAGTGAGACTGGAGGTTGCCGTTGAGCCTGGAAGAACTCGAGAGCTTTTGTTTTATGTGCTTTCCGGTTTGGGTGCGATTTCGAAGTGCTGTTGAATGAACGTTTGCCCTGTACGGTGAGTGTGCTTCTAGACGTTGTGTGTAATTACACAGTCCAAGGCCCCGGTAACTCGGTGTGAAAGTAGTCCACAACTTGGAATTATTCGAGATTGTTGCCAGGTGATGCGGCCTCACAAGTGGCATGGTATCGTTTTGTTGAAAGATACAATGGGTCTTGGTGACCAATTACTAGACCTCGTAAGCTGGGGCCAATTGCGGACCATTCTTATCTAGACACCTGAGGCAATCCATTGCGGTAGGCAACCGTGAGCAACAGCTTCGGCATCGAAGATTATGATAAGAAGTAGGCAAAAGGTATATGACTTCTATCGTTTCTCCGGGTACGTCCGAGCTGAGAGGAGTCGAACGTTACACTAGGTAAAGGGCTGGGAGTCGATCATGAGCACATCCGAGGCATGTGTCAACGGGTCCGTTCCGTTGCTCCTCAGAGCCCAGAGGAGCCCTGGGGCTTTCATACTCACGTTATCGCTGCAAGTCAGAAACAGGATTTCTTCGTCAAATTCGTGCGCTGGGTGAGAGAAAATAGCACCTGCGCTACTTGAGTGATGGGTGTGAGGCAAGGGTGCAGGCGAAAAGGAAGGCTCCATGCTGACGCACGGGCCATGACCAGAGCTCACATGCTGCACCACGATGCTTCCGGCTACACTACACTCAACGTCTTCAAGTTACCAATGTGCTGGTCACTCGTACAAGAGCTAGTATTGGCGAATTGAGGACATTTGCATTGGACTTTGGTGAAGAAAGGCAGTAAAATCTCAATCAATCGCCTCGCCAAACGACGTCATACACATCACCCAAACCAACCACCTAACACACCCATCCCAAACCTCACCATCAAAACCATAAAGAGAAATCAGAGATGCCACAACCGAAATCCCTTCCAAAAGACTGCTACACCCGCCAGCGCGCCGCCCGTGCTACGCGTAGACACCTCGCGTCCCTTACACCCTCAACATCGCATCCCCAACCCCAGTCCTTATTTTTCTCCATGCTTCCAGCGGAAATCCGCTTCACAATCTACCAACACGTCCTCTCCCAACAGCACGACCACACCCGTCCCATCGACATCCACTCCATCTCGCCCCTCTACCGCCCCCTCCACACCTATCTCACCAAGATCGACACATCCTTATTACTCACATGCCGCCTCATCTACGTGGAAGCCCATCAGATACCATTACGGAGTGCGACGCATCATTTCAGATATCTGGGTAGTACGTCGTGGTTGTACAACGGCGACATCTGGCTACACCACACCACCTCTCAGCGCGGCGCCTGCCTCTACCACCTCCACGACAACCTCGTCGCCCTGAAACCCTCCAATTTCACTAAATTCCTACTCAGCCATCTGCACTGGCGCAGGATAACCTGGACGATATGCGCATACCTCCTCCCTCCCCTGCTCGCCGAACTAAAAGAACGCCAGCGCCTCGTTGAAACACTAGCATCCCTCACACTCCCATCTTCCTGCCAAGAAGTTAATCTGGAATTCGAGACTCGAGAAGATTTGTTGCCGGAGTAGCCGGGGCTGGAGGACCAGATTGAGGCGTGTAGAGTGTTGGAACTAAAGAAGAGGGATGGGAGTGTGTTGGAGAGGGATGATAGCAGTGCGGTGAAGTATACGTGGAAGGGGAGTGGGCATGCGAGGTGGGGGACGAGTGAGGATGGGGTGTGGAAGGAGAAGATGAGGTATTGTACTACGAGGCTTTGTTGGAGGGCGAGGGTGCCCAGGAGGGAGTATGCGAGTTATGATTTTTTGGATTGTTTGGACGTGGAGGGGGAGGGGGAGGGGGTTGTGGAGAGTGTGAGGAGGTTGGGTGGGTAGGGGGATTTAGGGGGAGGTGGGGTGTGTGTGGTGAGGGGATGGGGGTTCACGGCGGTGTTCACATTTGCATCATGATGTGTCCTGTCTAAGTTTGGTTCGATTGATCCTCTTCCGCCAAGCGTCTGTTCCTTGAAACTAGACACATCGAGGACCCTTTGGCCCTTCATTCTCACCACGTTGCCAACTGCATAAGTACGCTCATCGCGCAGATGTGCGTCGTGATTCGTGGCATCTCCCATCCACCGCATTCGTCATACTTGACACTGCTGAGAATCCATTTAACGCTTGAACATAAACCAAAAGACAAAACCCAAATAAACAATCACGAAAGTGCAAAGTAAAAGTGACTCCACTAACCTTGGGGGTGTTTAAAGTACACATGGGTACGTAGTTGTACATGCCTGAGCATTGCGTCGTGCCGTGTTGCTGAAATCGTTTGCAACCACACAGGGGTCGCTCAACCCAAGACTCTCGGACCGTTCGACTTGCCCTTCTTCTGAACACCACGAGGTATGAACATGGCGGGAGATGCGACTACCGCGGGCGTGCTGTTGTTGCCATTTCCAGACTTCTCCTTGTTGTTTTTGTTGTTCCTGTTCTTCCCCTGCTTGTGTTTGTCGTCCTTCTTTACGACGGCCTTGACCTCAGATGTGGCTCGCTTGATGAGGACCGGGTGGCTGCCGATGTATTTGCCATTCATCTCCTTGGCGGCACGGAAGTAGTCGTCGGTGTCTGAGAAGCTCACGAAACCGTAACTTCTGCTCTTGGTGGACTTCTTATCTCGTACGACGCGGGCTTTGGACAAAGAGGGGTACTTGGCGAAAGCTTTGAGGAGTGAATCGTCGGTGACTTCACCCGCCAGGTTACCGATGAAGAGTCGCGGGTGCAAGGGGTTCCACTCGAGTAGTGTCTCGTCCTCCCACTGTTTTCCACCTCCCTCGCGAACAACAGTCTTGCGCTTGCCGTCGGCTGCTGGTCCTGCTTCAGTATCCTGGGTGGTTGCCGCTTCCGGTCGAGCGGTCATGTTCGCACCGGTGCCCTTCTTCGCGTTCGCGTCGCCAGCATTGTATGCGCTGTTCCACTCGGCGATGCGGGCTTCTTCTTCGGGATCATAGGTGCCACCAAATCCGCGGTTCACGGTCGGAGCAGCTGGGTATGAGGCCGCAGCAGGTGCGCCCGTCGCGTAGGCTGGGTACGAGTAGTTGTTGTAAGCATTGCTGGTCGGGTATGCGGGTGCTTGATAGGGGGCGCTCACTGGGGCTTGCGCGTAGTTTGCCGGCGCAGCAGACGCCGGTGTGAAGCCAGCAAACATGGGCGAGTTGCCCTGGCCTCGTGCGCCGGCGTTGTTGGTCCTTGAGGGCGGTGCCGAGTATGTCGTGGGCGGCGGGCGCGCTGGCAGGGAGTGATGGGGCTGCATGTTGGAGTAGGAGCTGCGGGTCAGTTCAGCTTAACCTTAGCGAGGTGATGACTTAACCAGCTACTGGTCGAGACGCGCTCTGATGTTGCGGAGTGGGTAGACTGGTGATAGGACGGCCGGGTGGCTAAGGATGCGTAGTAATCTACGGTTCGCAGATTTTGAGGGTGCGCGCGGGTGTGGTTGCACCGATGAGGTGAGGCGCAGTTTCTGTATGGCTGGGGAAAATGCCTCTCAATGAAGCGCGTCCGTGTGAGTGAATAACCGCCCGGGCAGTGCCGTGCGCGTGAATGTCTGGAGCTGATGCTGACTACACGTCGAAGATGGCAGAAGGCAACAAGACTTTCCCGAAGTGTCTAGCAAGCGAGGCTGCAGGTGGGCGAGGACTAGGTCGGCGTTTGAAGAGGGCAGAGTGGGATGGCGGGCCGGTGCAAATTACAATTACCGTGGGGATGCGTCAGGCAGATGGGGGCGTCGACGTCCGTTGTTGGTTTCTGTCGCAGAAAGTGAGCCAAGCGGCTCCTCCGGCCCCGAAATCACGTGTTGCCGGCATATCGGCAGCCGCTGCACACCACGCTGCACCGCAAGGCTCAACCTTGAACAGCCAGGAAAGAGCTGCAGCGCGATGCACAGGCGTCACCGGTGATGAGTTTTCTCTCATCGCGTCAGCCCTCACAGTCCATCCAGGTAGCCTTGGAAACATTGCAAGACTTCTCCGGCGACCTGTCCTAGCGTATCCGGTGATCCCTGCACGCTGCCCCTCCATCCGTACTGCGTAATGCTGTGTTAAGGCTGAGACGGAGGGGCTTCACAAGCAGCCGCATTTGACCGCGACGCCGTTGGGACTGTTGCTTGCGTCGCTAGTCTGCTAGGATGAAATTGATGTCAATAGTGAATGTACACCGAGTCGTGATAGCCATAGCATCTGCAACCACATGCGCAACCCACCCGTGTCTAGCCCGCTCATTAGACGGCGGCTTTCTAATCATGCGCTGTGATGTTCAGCAATCATGTCGGCAGCGGTGCAAACGTTTTACAAGACGGAATTGGCAACAGTGGCTTGTATGACATACCTTACCGCCGCGGCCGAAGCTATTCTCCGTCAACAGCGTGATGCTGGGATATGGTGGTGGGACGTGCCATTGATGCAATAGTAGTGTGCCCCGCTTGTTCCAAAGACTTTCCGCGTACATATCTTGACGACCCCCACCAGACTTCTTCTTCCTTCTCTTGACCATCTCCCGCTTTATAAGCCTCAATTGCCTCGTATTGCACGCCCGGTCGCTGCAATTCTACCCCGCCAACACTTTCTCATCCACCCACCTACCCCTACACGAGAACAGCAATCATGTCTTCTGAGCCCGTCGGAGATTTCGGCCTCATCGGCCTGGCCGTAAGTACTCCATATTCGATCGCGTCCATGGCGAGTGCAGCAGAAAGTGCGCGTCGTCGTGCCTTCCTGCCAGCCATTGAGACCAAAGCACGAATTATCCGGAGACATTCACTTCCAACGCATCAAGGCCAGCCATGCTGACTATTCACGTAGGTCATGGGCCAGAACTTGATCCTCAACGCGTAAGTCACGACCAACGTCATAACCCACCAAACCAGTACTAACACCAACCAGTGCTGACCACGGCTTCACCGTTGTTGCTTTCAACCGAACGTAAGCGCCTCGATACACCGCGCCGCCAACACACACTGACAGGCAGATAGCGTTGCCAAGGTCGACCGTTTCTTGAACGATGAGGCCAAGGGCAAGTCCATTGTCGGCGCTCACTCCATCAAGGAGTTCGTCTCCAAGCTCAAGAAGCCCCGCCGCATGATGATGCTCGTCATGGCTGGTAAGCCCGTTGACGACTTCATCGAGCTCCTCCTCGAGGGAGGTGCCGAGGAGGGCGACATCATCATCGACGGTGGTAACTCCCACTACCCCGACACCAACCGCCGCACAAACTACCTCAAGTCCAAGGGTATCCGATTCGTCGGAACTGGTGTCTCTGGAGGAGAGGAGGGTGCCCGCTACGGTCCTTCCATCATGCCCGGTGGTAACGAGGAGGCCTGGCCATACATCAAGGTAGGAATGCGCGTAGAGATGAACAGGGCAAAACTAACAATAATCAGGATGTCCTCCAGTCCATCTCCGCAAAGTCCGACGGCGAGGCCTGCTGCCAATGGGTTGGTGACGAGGGTGCCGGTCACTACGTCAAGATGGTCCACAACGGTATTGAGTACGGTGACATGCAGTTGATCTGCGAGGTGAGACGAGACGATCATACAGAAAGAAAGAGGCGACTGACAGAAACAGGCCTACGACATCATGAAGCGCGGTCTCGGCATGAGCAACAAGGAGATTGGCGACGTTTTCACACAATGGAACAAGGGCGTTCTCGACTCATTCCTGATCGAGATTACCCGTGACATCATGTACAAGAACGACGACGATGGTGTTGCCATCGTTGAGAAGATCATGGACTCTGCTGGTCAGAAGGGTACCGGAAAGTGGACCGCCATCAACGCGCTCGACCTCGGTATGCCCGTTACCCTGATCGGAGAGGCCGTCTTCGCCCGTTGCCTGAGTTCGCTCAAGCAGGAGCGTGGCCGTGCCGCCGGTCTTTTGGACGGCCCCACCCCCAGCTTCTCTGGCGACCGCCAGGCCTTCATCGACAACCTCGAGCAGGCTCTTTACGCATCCAAGATCATCTCGTACGCCCAGGGCTTTATGCTGATCCAGAACGCCGCCAAGGAGTACAAGTGGAAGCTGAACAAGCCCGAGATTGCCCTCATGTGGCGCGGTGGATGCATTATCCGCTCCGTCTTCTTGAAGGAGATCACCAAGGCTTACCGCCAGAACCCCGAGCTCGAGAACTTGCTGTTCGACGACTTCTTCAGCAAGGCTATCCACAAGGCCCAGTCCGGATGGAGAGACGTCGTTTCCAAGGGTGCTCTCTGGGGTATCCCCACCCCTGCTTTCAGCACCGCCCTCAGCTTCTACGACGGATACCGCGCCAAGGACCTGCCCGCCAACCTGTTGCAGGCACAGCGTGACTACTTCGGTGCCCACACCTTCAGGATCAAGCCCGAGTACGCCAACGAGACCTACAAGGAGGGCCAGGACATCCACGTCAACTGGACTGGAAGGGGTGGTAACATCTCTGCTTCTGTAAGTTTCGCGCACATTGATCATTTAGAAGACACTAACAACTTGCCAGACCTACAACGCTTAAAAAGGGGATATCCATTGCTTGTTAGACGGGAGCAGAGGGCTGCCCCGAGTTCATGTTTTATGAAGAACGTGAAAACTGAGATACCTCGAATCTAGAATGAATATAACGATTCGCATGTCCAATGTTTGCATGTGCCGGTGAATGTATGAAGCTCAGCTTGACCGCTGTGTTGTTACTCGTACGCTAGCTGCAGTTAGCGTTGATCGTCGCGTACCTCCAGGTAGACCCTTGACGAGCCACCCCACTATGAATTGAACATTGTTACGAGGTCGCACGCGCATCGGCTTCCCAGCAATCAGGATACACTCGGGACGGAAGCGTCTCCAAGGCCTACACCATATACCTGCTACAATTGGCCCAGCGGCAAGCGCCCTGCGTAAAGGCTTGGCATCGCGACCACGGAAAGTTGCAGCGCATCACGACAACATCAACCCACCCGCCTCGCGCTCCGCCAGCTCCGCCACGCCAGCGCTGCCCCACGACCCGGTTGCGCGTGCGTCGTCGCGTTTTCATTTCTTTCATTCCTTTGGATTGTATATTCACTGCTTGTATGAGTCTCTGGCGTTAGGTCCTCCGTCGTAGAATCTGGGCAGGGACTAGGTGCTGACGAGACCCAATTGTAGCGGAGCAACACGTTAGCCTCCGCCGCCCGTAATACCCAAGTCGCCTAGACAGAGGCACATAAGAGCAGGACCGTCATGGCGGACAACAAGCGCAATAGCGTTGCGGGCAAGGTTGCGACTCCGAACCTAAAAGCCGGCCCTGGATCGAACAAAGATGTCATTGGCGCGGATTCCGATCTGTACAAGGCTGTTGGGTCACGGTACGTTCCGCTCGTCGAAATGGTATCACAGCTGGGATGGTAGCTCACAGTTCCCAGCATCAAAGTCACATGTGCCCCTGGCAAGAACGTCCTCGAGGGCACCCTCTTCACGGCCTGCAACCTCACCCACGCCATAGCCATCAACACCGCGCCCGCTCCACCGAACCCCTCCCCTACCTCCTTATTCAGCCAGCCCGGCGACTACCACATCATCCCATTCGCACACATTGAGTCCTTCGAGATCATCGGCACAGGAGAGCGCGTAGCAGAGTCCGCAGCGGGTTTCGATGGCGCACTCCCCAGCATCTCCAAGGTGGATCTGGCCGCGCTACAAGCCCGCGAAGACCAAACCATCCGCGAGATGAAAAAGAAGGATATGCAGAAGGGCAAGGGTGTTAGTGCCGAAGCACAGGAGTTGTTCGATGCTATCTCGAGGACGTGAGTCATATCAGATCTGGCGCAGAGACAGGATATCAGGGCTAACATACGAACCACAGTCTACCAACTCGGTGGGCAGATACGCAGATCGTCGTCAACGACTCCGTCCTCATCCAGGCTCCGTACACGCTCGACAGCATCAAAGCACCCGCCGACAAGCATCAGGCTAAGGCTCACGTTCGCAAGGTCGTCGAAGCCTTCTACCAGCGTAAGAAGGGCGCTTCTGCGGGTGGGGCGGCTCGCGCTCCGGTCGCTGTGCCCAATGCCCCTCGGAAGGGAGGTTAGAACTCGGCCAGCCCAGGGCTTTGGCGACGGACTACTTGATGTTAGCCTTATCCGCAGAGCTCCATGTCGCTGGCTGGAGGGTTTGGTCTCGTTGGTGATGTGAGGTATGAATCACGGAAGGATTATGCAATGATGGTAGCAGTCATGCATTCTATGGAAGGGTGCTGGAAGGTAAACATGCTATTCCGCATGGCATAGTAGGCATTTCAGAAATTCACAAAATGTTCAAAAGCCACGGCTTTTTGCGCCGTGTGATGTAAGTGCGATAACTTAGCTTCACGTCTACGACAGGATCCCGACGATCGCACGAGCAGGAGAATAAGCATAATGATGACTACGGAAGTTTGCAGATAATGGAACCACACATCAAACAGCAGGCTGCAGCTGAAAGCCTCTTTCTCATTCTGTTGACAATTGGGACGCCCTTGTACCTCATCGCTAGGTTATAACACCAGTCTTGTTCCGACGCACCTGTTCAACTCGCATGTGCCGCAGCGAGCGAGATGGATCCCTTAATCATTGCGACGAATGTGGTAAGTTCTCTACTCCGGGACCTTAGTCAGAGCCGTATTGCTAAGCTAACCACTCTTCTAGCTCCGGATCATTACGACTTTCCTCGGAGCTGCCAAAGGCCTCAACGACATACGGAGCAAATGGAAGCACGCGCCCGTTACCGCGCGATTCCTCTGTTCCCAGCTCAAACTCAATGGGACCTTACTTTCGCGGCTGCAGGCACTACTTCTTGACGAAACGAATGCTGTGCACGCGGACCCAGACTTGGTCGATACGCTCGATACGACTCTGATAGGCTCTCTCGTGCTGGGGGTATGCCTGGGGAAGTACGTGTCGAAGATCATGAAGGGCGTCCACGGTGATGGTAGCATGAGCTCGAAAGCCAAATTTTGGACTCTGTGGAATGAGGATGAAGCCAAGGACTTATTGGAACGACTGCATCAAAACCATACTGCGATCAACATGTTGATCGGCCCGCTGAACAGGTGAGTGAAGATAAAGTCTCCACATAGCGTACAGCTACAGCCACGAATGGCGGACTGAATTTAGCAGGGATTCTTCGACCGAGAGAAAGAAACCCCTTCAGGAAAAGGAACAAAGCAAGACGATGACAACAATGAACGAACACACCCAACACATGCGAAAGGCTTATGCCCTCACAGTGGCGGAGTCTACATTCAAAACCGAAGATTCCCCTAGTAGTCTCTTGAGCAATCTCTCCACCCTTGTCGATCCTACTGACGGCTCTTCCGAACAACACTTCGAATCTGTCCTCTCAAACTCCAGAGTATACAAAAAAGCTTCCAACGCCACTATGAGCCAGCGGCTGAATACCGATTCCGACAATGCAAGCATGAGGACTAGTCATTCTACAACTGCAGAGATTGGCGACCCGGACTTCATTACCGACCCATCAAATACAGAAGAAGACACAGCTACTACAAGGCCTATAACTGTTCATATCTGTGATCCTGTTCATAGGGCGAGCAGAGATCTCAACGTTGCAGGCGTAACGGGTATTTGTACCGAAAGCTATCCTACTCAAGAACCCGGAAAGCTGAGTTACAAGCCCCACGACCGGATACAGAATCTACGGAAGGTAGATGCGGCGTGGTGGTACGGCACTACTGAACCGTCAGAGAACGTGCCTGAAAAGAGTGGTATAATCCTTCGTCGAGACTTTTACCCCGTTTACAGACTTAACGAGTGGAAACCTGCATACACCGGTAGGAGCATGGGCACCGAAGCCGTTGGCGAGTATTGGTTGCGCTATGAAGAGGGAGATCGAGTGGAATTCGATGTAAGTGACGTGAAAAATCTGTACCTATGACATTGGGCTAACCATTTCAGCGAGTATACCATAACTTCATATGGCACGTCAGAGTATGTAGGAACTCGGACCATCACGCTGGGTCAAACGACATAGACTCACGGTGTCACAACGCATCAACAGAAGGACAAATGCTAGTCGATACCATCATGCTGAGTGACGAGATCCGCGAACAGGTCGATACGCTTTTAGCACATTGTGCTTGTCCTCTTTCTCGTCTCGCCGGTTTGGAAGGACGTGAACGGTCCAAAGAGATTATAAAGATGGTGAACGAGAATGGCTGGCCCGAATCTGAGCAGAAGATTATAGCGGATTGCAAGAGCTTTAGGGAACTACAAGAAGCGGCAGAGTTATATAGGATGTGTGGACAATAGGGCTGGGACCTACAACGAGTCACAGGTGTGTCCACAGACACGGCAAAAAGGTAGATGAAGCATACATGGCAGGATACGGGTTCAATTCGCAGGGTGAAAAGTACGCGAAGCCCATCACGCTGCCTCATACTAATATACAAAACGCCTCAACACATGCCCGTAGTCCCCAAGCCCCCCTCCCCCCAACCTCACCCCTCTCAACCCCTCCACCCAAGCGCATCCTTCTCCAGCACCGCATGCCTCATCCGAAGCAAGTCCACCCGGCTGGTGTACGTCAGGCGCCCCTCTTTCTTCCACCTCGTGTTGTACGGGATCTGGTACGTATCCAGTACATCCACGAACGCACCAGCCCTAGGCTCATACGCCCCCGCCGTCTGATCCACCTCCAGATTCATCTTCTCGGGCCCCATGCCCCATCCGTAAGAGACATTATCGAAGCCGCGGAAAGTGGCTCCAACGACGTACGTGCTGCGCGCACGGAGCGAAGGCTGCTTGTGGCGGAGGCCATTGCCGTTGCCGCTCGAGATGACGGCGCCGATCATGCAGTCGTCCATCTTCTTGACGATGATGAACGGATAGACCTTGATGCAGATCTGGCCGTACTGCGACGGGACGAACCAGTCCCGCGAGGTGGCTGCCATGCGCGGGAGGGGCGCCCATCCGATGTCGCCTACGCTGATGGCGGCGATGGCGGCGGTGTCGAGGCGCTGGGGGCGCTCGGGCCCGTGTGGTGGTGGTGGTGAAGGCGAATCTTTGTCGACCTCCATCTCATCTTCCTTCACCTCACCCTCCTCCATCTCTTCTCCCCCCTCTTCTCCCTTCTCCTCCTCCAACCCCAAAACCTCGCCATCCCATCTCGCCAAAAACGCTTCAAATCGCTGCACGCAAAGCAACAACTCACTGGAAATCGTCTCCTCGTCGGCCGTAGCCTCTTCTCCTTGTAGTGCCCAAAGGCGGTTCTGATGTGCCTCTATGGCGAGGACTTCCATGGCGATGTCGCGCCCGAGGTTGATGGTGGTGAGGGAGGGCATGGCGGGCCATGCCGGCGACGTTGCCGTGAAGGCGAGGAGTGTGGTGGTGGTGTGGGTGGTCATGGTGACTATGTGGTTAGTTACGGGAAGGGAGAGGAGGGGTTGGGGGGGATGTAGGATGTAGAGGGTGAGATAAGGGAAGGGAAGAGGGATGCTGGGGGTGATGTAGACGGTAGAGGGCAGGATGCCACAAGGGCAGTGAGATGCTGGGGTGATGTAGACGGTAGGGAGCAGGATGCGGAAAGGGAATTGGGCTGCCGCAGCCCATGTAATCCGCGAAGCCATCGCTACCGTAACAAAAAGAGAAGATACTTACGAGTGTAGTCAGTGTGTGTTGCTAAAGAAGCTCAGAAATCAGCGGCATGAAAAACTTTTGTTATGGGCGTCCTGGGTGCAAACGCTCGTTGCTGTCTTGGCGGTGAAAAGTGCGGCTCACTGCTCACGTTCACCGCGAGTTCAGCAGAGAGAGAGGAGCGAGGAGCTGGATGTGAGAGCGGAAGTGAGCGTGACGGCAATATCGGAGTTGGAATTCGTATGGGATATGCAAGGAATGAGGTTGACAGCTATGTGGGAAATGGGATATGTATAGAGTAAGAGCAGTGCGTGATGTAGGCGTATTGTGGCATTAAGGCGCGATGGATACTAGTGGTATGACATTGACGTAGGCATAGTATGGCATTAAAATGTTGGAGATATCTGCTACAGAACTTGATGTCGTAAGCATGACTCTCTGGTTCTGTATACTACAGCAGCATACAGAAGAACGAAGTCTCCGTCTGCAGAAGCATTTCAAACCGCAGATATATACTGCCCTTTCACTTTTCACCGCCCTTTTCCGCTTGACCTAGCAGCGAACTCAGCATACTAGGCAGGGTTGCAATTTGCGAATGGGAAAGTCTGAAGATGTGGAGTTTGTCACTGGTAGTACTATGTCTGTGACAGACGTCGAGCCAGACTACACGGAAGATTTTCTGTCATCTCCTAGCCATGATACAGAAAAACGCTCACTTCCACTCAACTCCCCAAGTAACCTCCCCCTTCCTAAACGGCACAACCTCACACTCGCCCCCACCCTCCTTCCTCAACACATCCACAACCTTCTCCTTCCCCTTCCTCAACACAACCCTCTCCTTCCTCTCATCCACAATCTGATAAAACCCCCTCCCCCACCCCCCAAAGAACCCCTCCAGCACCTCCTTCGTCACCTCCTCCTCCCCAACAACCCCCCTCCTGACCCCCACCTCCAAAGCATCAAGCACATACCCCACCGCATAAGGCTGCGTAAAAACCCCCGCAGCAACCTTATCCTCCCCCCTCTTCTTCCCCCTCGGATGCGGCGCAGAATCCGTTCCGAGGAAAAACTTCCCATTCCCCCCCACCACCGCGCGGAGCAACGCATCACGATCTTCAGGCGTCTTAGCAACAGGCTTGCAGAAACAAAAGGGGTCGCCTGCCCAGTCATCGATGATCAGACTGAGATGGTGCGCGGTGATTGTGCCGCTGACGGATGGGCCGCAGGAGCGGACGGCGGAGAGGGCGGCGGATGTGCTGCAGTGCTCGAGGATTATGCGGAGGGTGGGGAATTTGGCGTGTAGGAGCAGGAAGGTGGGGAGGAAGGCGGGTTCGGCGTTGAGGATGGTTATGGCGCCTGTTTCTGTGTCTTTGGTTGTTGTTACGTGGGTGTTTGGGGGTGTGGAGGGGACTTCGCCGTGGAGGTTTAGGACCATGTTTTGTTTCTCCATTTCGGCGAAGACGGGGTAGAAGGGTTCGTAGGAGAGGACGCCGGATGAGGAGTTCTGTGGGGGAGTTAGTCCGCCTGTCACATGAGTTGCCAATTTCTTCCTCTCTTATCCTCTTTTTTGGCATATCTTTGGGGAAGATTGTCTGGATCTGTACGTACCGTAGTAACACCAGCGGGATACGACTTGACACCCGTAATCCCCGCTTTCTTCGCCTCCCGAATAACCTCCGGCGTGATATCCTCGTGAAGATACAACGACATGACGTAATCCACATCCGGCTCAATAGCACGAAGTCTATCGCGGTACTCGAGACATTGCTTCACGGAAGTGATGGGCGGGACCAGGTTCGGCTGTAATAGTGATATGAAGGGTTAGAGAAACGTGACCGATATGTTGCGAGATGAGTATGGCAACAGCACATGAACAGAAAGAGAGAACGAAGAGGAGCAAGATTGACGATGGTAGCATAAATGAAATGACCGAAATCTTGGATGAGAAACGATGGTTATTAAACTCACCATAACATACACCTGATTCACACCACCCTTACGAATCGTAGGCGTAACAAGCTGCGACATCTCGCCATCCCGAAGATGGACATGAGCGTCATATGCCGCTGGCAGCTCAATTTCCGTCAGTTCGGTAAACTTCATCTCTGGTTTCGATAACTCCAGGGCTATGGATCTTGGAGTTGGTCGTTGTTGTTACCCCAAAGAAGTTGTCCCGCGTTTTTTGGCGAGATCGGCGGCGGGCGCAAATAGAGCCGCACTAGGCCGGATGTGGAAAGCCTCACCTTGTTACATATGTATAGGTGGATTTGGACATGCTAAACTTGGGGACTATTATGTTTTTGATATCTTGATTGAAGTTACAGAGAAACAAATCAAGCCTTTCACATATGGATCTGCTGCCAGAATATTGGGTATCCGCAACGCATGGTCCAACTACTTGGCCCACCACAAGAAAGATACTCACATCGCCAAAGTCGCCCTTCAACTCCCCCCTTAACATATCAGATCAACTAATCAGCCTGCACAAACCCCTCTTCAAACACCACCCCTCTTGTCTCAACCTCTACCCTCTTATTCCAATTCTTCGGCACATACTCCACCGACAACCCCGAATGACGAGTATAACGAGTCTTACTCGAGCTCGTTGAACTCACACTGCCACTTCGATGCGAGAAAACAGACTTACTCCTACGAGGTTCTGTTTCAAGTTTGATCCCGTCTTGTGCCGATGGCGTTGTGCTGACTCGGGGCTGTTTCCTGGGTCGCTCTCGAGATGTGCGGCTCTGGCTTTCTGGGGCGAAAGGGTCTTCGTCCTCTTCGCGACTGCGTTTTACGGGGGTTGGTGCGGAAGTCGGGGTAGAGGAGGAAGTTGACATGCTCGATAAGGAGAGTCGACCGACGCCAGCGGCGAGAGTTTTTGAGAGTCGAGAGAAGAAGCCGGTGGACTGGGGAACGGAGGCACTAGGCTGTGATATGAGTGGAGTCTGTAAAGTTTCGCTAGTTGCGCCATTAGGCGTGCTCGCATTCTTTCTAAATGGCCCCGGCGTACTGTTCACAGTCGAAGTAGTACCATCAGTTTGCCGTCGTCCAGGTATCACCACCACCGGTCCAGAACTCCTGCGGCGATGTTCCTTCTGAGAAGGCGACATATCCTGTACTTTAGACTGGGGTCTGGGCTTCTTAACACTCTGCTCGATCTCCGACGTTTCAGCGTCGCTAGTTGCGTCCACCACCTCAGCTGAGTTCTGCGTCGTTCCGTTCGCAGTAAACCCTAACTCATTCTTCTGCACGGCCTGGAGTAGAGAAAGGCCCATGGCGAAAGCAACCTTACGGTCCACGCCATTGCCGACAATTTTGTACTGCTCCGGGAGGGAGCCAATGATGGGCTCCTCATCCATGTAGCCCTGGGTCCGACGTGCTTCCAGTACACTGATAGACCGATGCTGATCCCAATGCAGTGTGGCGCCGTTCCGGGAATCGCGGATGACTATGTTTGTCGTAATAGTAGGTACCAGTCCAGCTGCTTTGATCCGTCGGTACGCCTTTCCAATGTCTGTCCTGGGGTCTCGTAGTGAGGTCGGGATAAGACCACGTCTATCTGCTTCTTTGTAGTCGCAACCTGGAGGCTGTCGTGGAATGCATCTGACCAATGCTCGCTGCTTACGCGTTGGGACTTGCGGTAAGCGGTGGTCTGGGAACGGAATGCAGGTCTGGACAATACCGTTGCCAATGTCGGGCAATCCCGCATCGACGGACACCGCGGGTACATACGGAAAAGGCGTTGGGTAGTGCTCGCGTTCACCAAATTTCTGTCCGTTGGGTAAATAACCTAAGCTTCGTCCCGCCGTCTCCTCGTAAGGTCGTGCGTGGGTGTGCCAAGGTTGGGCAATTGGCTCAAGTCCGGGTGCAGCTATGGTGAGGATCAGGCGTGAACGCTGTTGCGCGCTGCCGTAACTCCAAGCGTCCATGATGTACTGATTACATTGGTATCCCATCGAGACTAGAGAAGCAACCACCTGAGATAACACGTTCTGATCTTCGAATCCAGTCCGTGTTGAAGCCATGTTGACGACGTTTTCGAGTATACCGTACAAAGGGCGGTATAGATCTACATACGAGCAGAAAGTGCTAATATGTGACGCATTCTTCAAGGACTGCGGACTGAGAATATTATGCTGAAGAGCTGAGAACCCAGGACATGGCGATCCAGCAGCAAGGAAGTCGACTTCTCCGACCCGAGGGACAAGGGCAGGTTTACTACCCTTGAGAGCTGCGTCAAAGTGATCATCGACGGAGCCACAGAACAGATGCATCGTCTCCGGGCTCTTCGAGTTAGCTCGCTGAGTGTGGATGGCATGGGGACTGAAATCGACAGCGGAGTGGAAGATAACTGCTCCACCCTCTTCAAGGCCTCGATCAAGCGAACCACCGCCACTGAAGATACTCATTCCTCTCAATGATTTAGCAGAAGCCATGTCAGGGCCCTCATTGAATGTCTTCGGAAGATTCCGCAGAAAGATGAGTTTCTGATCGCCTTCCACGCCAGTCAATCCCATAGACAAAAACCAGAGATCACCAGCACCGCCACGATTGTACGTGAAAGGTATCTGTCCGTCCTGGATGTCAGACTTACTCACGAACTTGACATAGCAGCGCCTCTGGATGCGGGACATGGACACGTCTTCGTATTCGTCCGTGAGAACAAGCTCATTGGCCAAGAGATTCAAGCGCCGAGCTTTGGCTGCTAGTTCTCTGCAGTCGCGTTCCAGTCGTAACAGCCTACGTACTCTAACAATCCCCTTGGCGCGGTCAATGTGTTGAAAGACGACAGGATCCAGAAACTTGTCTCCGTTTCGGGTCCTTGATAGATATACCGTGTCGCCTCGACCGTAATCATCGACGGGTGTGCGCTTTTCCTTCCGACACGTGCAAGTCTTGTGTGAAGACCGAAGGCTGACAAATGCACTGTCTTGGGTGACATAGGTCTGACGAACGAAAAAGCGCTCAGCGTCGATGGTGGAAGGTGACCAGTCTATATCGTATCTTCCCTTGATATCCGTGGATAAAAGCTCTCCCTCCGAGCAGTTGCAGTTGTCGGATAAGAAGACTTCGTTCGCGTAGGGATATTCGGCCTTGAAAATGTTGGTCTCGTGATGGCGATAGATCCATAACACGAACAACCTCTGCGTTCCGTCCGTCAAGAGCTCTGTACCCTGGACGTATGCGAGCCATTCCCAGGTCGTATTGCGCCATACGGTTGCGTCAGCCTCATCAGGAATTAAGGCAACGACGTCGCCAACCTTCACTGGTGAGTTACCATAGGGTTGGCATATGTTCCGTCGCGGAGTAGTCGGTTGCCGTACCCAGAAGCTCTGCGCAAACCCAAGCCTCCGTTTTCTGCGCTCCTGTATAATCCTGACCGTGTCGGTAGGCCGTTTCGCCTGTATTTGCTCACCAAAGTACATGTGCTTAAAGCAATCGTAGACCTCTGGCGTAGCAATGGTGTGCTCGATGATCTGCTTCTGCGCCTTTACAGCCGTTAATCCTTTAGCCATGCACTCGCTCCAGAGGGGATGAGCAAGCAGCTGTTTCGAGTTGGGAAGGTTGAAGGCCTGGTTGTAGAAGTATTCGACGTAGGCATGTACGGCGACGCGAAAGTCAGTTTGGTGCCTGAACGCAGTATGCCATTGCTGAAAGTCGGAGCAATGACCAAAACGGGGCGAGAGCCAGACATAGAAGTCTTCGCGAAATGCGGTGAGCCCGACTGCTCCCACGGGCTTGCTGTCCACATAGTCGATAATATGCTTCCCTAGCTGCGCTACCCAGAGGAAGGATTTTTGAAAGTCTTTGTAGCCTGGGGCCGGCTTGGCAAGTCTGTACCAAATATCGTAGTGCTTGTCCTTACTCGCGAACGTAGACTGTATGTATGTAGTAACACCCGAGTTCTCATCGTCTCCGTAGCCCTCGACAGAGCTATCCTGAATTGGTACTGCATGCACGTAGTGTTTGGTCGATCCCACGCAGATGAAGCCATCAAAGCACAGTTTCTTTGCGATCGAAACCTCCAAGTAGTGTAGACTCGTCAGCTCGTAGGCCCTGCACTCGCTCTCTGGTGTTCGATAGATCTCGTAATCTTGCAGGTCTACAATCAGAAGTTGCTTCTCGGACCTTGGCCCATCGTACACGGGTTCTTCGCGGGATTGCCGTCTCCATTCACTCTTCAAGCTTCGTAGTGCTTCCGATTCGGGCGTTACTGGTACGGGCGGAGACCAGTTGGCGACGTGTGATCTGGCAAAATCGCTTGACGCCGGTAAGGTGATTTTCGGTTCGCTTCGTCGTCTTGGTGTGGTGCTCTGTGCGCTTTGCCTCCTCTTCTTTGGCTCTGGCGTTTCTAGCGTGATGTTGTCACCGATTGTCGCATCCATCGTGCGCTCGCAATGTGGGTGTGATCCTCGGCGAGATTTCGGTGTATGCGTGAAGTGTCGCGCGCGTCGTACAGAAGTCAGAAAACCGCGAAACGATCGAACCTGCTATCTCTCTCTTTCTCCCTAGGCAGCATTCGTGACTGTTTGAAAAGCAGTGAATGCGGGGGTGAGGGTGAGTCTTTGCGCCTGTGAATTCCGCCTCTTTGAGCGACTGCAACCAACAGTGGCCGCCAACGCGTCGCGTGTCAAACACCCAGCCACAAAGACAATAACAAGACACTAGAACACCAGAATCAAACATGCAGTCTCAGACAGCAGTCAAACATTTCGGTAAAGAGAGAGACACCGTTGACGGCACACGGAGATTATCGCGCTCGGACTGTGCCCAAGTGGTAGCGACGTTCGATTAGGGAAGGCAGCAGCAGAGCCTCACCCGGGGGCAAGCGCACCAGCCACCGGCATTTGGAGAGGCAGGTGCGACATGGTTTGGAGGGTTAGAGGATTGCCTGTTTGAGCTGTTGACATAAGAAGCTTTGTGATGGAGACGGATGATTGCTTGCGATGGAAAGATGTAGAAAGCAATGGGGGCGGGATGGGTTGCTGAGGATGGCGGATGGGCCTAGCACGTGCTGGTCGTACGAACGGGCCCTGACAAGAGGTGAGAGAACCCCTCATCAGGATCATGATTCCCATACTCAACAGAGAAGAACAACACATCGTTAAATACTATAAACATGACGTGAAATCTAATGCAAGCTCACACGGACCGAACCGACGTACGCCCTACGCGAAAACGCCTCCATGAACGCCTACCCTGTGCATGCAGTTTCCGCGAACAGTGATATAGACCCATTCCCAAAGATATCCATCAACATATACCACCAGAATACATATTCTTCTAACCGTTCTTCGGAGCATAGTCCCAGATATGCGACGAATCCCAACTCTCCGTCTCCTCCTTCCTCGCCTTAGGATCATCCCCCCTCTTCTTCGCATCCTCTCTCAACACATCCAACTCGCGATCCATACCACTAATCTCCGTTCTCAGTTTATTAATAGTCTCAATCTCTTCCTTGGAGAAATTGGGGTCCTTGCCGTCCTTCTTAGCCTCCTCCTCGCGCTTGTTGAACTTATCCAGCTGGGTAAACTTCTCGTTGCGCGCATCCTGCTTCTTGAAGTACTCGTCGTACTTCTTCTGGCCGCCGAAGCAGATGCCGTAGCCGTCGCAGTAACACGTGTTCATAGCCGGGCAGTGGACTTCATGGCCGGTGAAGATGTAGTGCCAGATATATTCGAAGATGCGGCCGGAGAACTGGTCGTCCATGCCCGTTGTAAGCAGCCACTTGCGGTAGTGGATAAAGCGCTCGATAGGCACTTCCTGGATGCGCTGGCGCGACACGGCGAATTGCGCGCAGCAGATTCCCGAGATGGAAGGCGGGATCGGGGCGCCCGGGTGGATCTCCTCCCAGATGTTGCGCCGCCAGTAGATCTCCTCGGGCTTGTGGAAGAAGTCGAAGTCGCCGCCGGGGCGGTCCATGTGGATCCAGTCCGGGCAGCCGGGGTCGTGGTGGCAGCGCACGTTCATGTAGCCCATGCGGGCGACGCGCTCGTGGTTGAGGCGCTGGATCATCTGCGCGGCGTCGAGGCCGAGGAGCTGGTTGTTGTGCCAGGCGTGGCGGTGGGCGTGCATGAAGATGGACGTGTCGGGGAGGTCGTCGTAGTGGTCGATGATGTACGAGAGGTAGACCTGGGAGGTTAGCTGGGGGCTCAATGACAGATATGCCATACGTACCATGGCCTCGCGACCTTTGTTCTTGGGGATCTTGTGCTCGGCATTGGGGTTGTCGACTTCGTATACTACCAGCGGCGCATCGGGAATCTCCTTGTCCATCCAGCTAATGTCCTCCTTCTGCGTCTTGGGCACGATGATCTTGTACGTGTAGTTGCTGCCCAGCGGCTTCGTCTGCGCCTCGGAGAAGCGCAGCGGCAGGCCAAAGTCGAGTGGGTCACCGCGCAGCGAGGGCCGGTAGCCGTGGGCAGCGCTGCTCCCGGAGTTCCATGCTGGAATTGACGGGATTTGGTGGAGATACCACCACACGAGGCCGGCGGCGAGGAAGACGAAGACGAGCGGGATGGCCCTCGGGGGTCCGCTGAGCATGGTGGGTGACGGAACGGCTAGTAGCGAGGGCTCATTGATGGTTGTGGAGAGGTGTTCGAGACCAGGACCTACGTGATGATCATGGCGCGGGATGCAGGCGGCGCCGGGGGTGCGTTCGGCCTCGTTGTCGTCAGCTCGCCCTCGACGCAAAGGTGGATCTTCCCGTACCTGGGCCTGGTTGCGCGTCCAGATGTCACTAGGCGGGATCTGCATGTGCCAGCCCTGGACCCAACGTGAAACATGCTGCACATCTACCTTCCACACTTCACCATACCCGCCCGGGTGTAACGCTTGGCAGGGCAACATTACTTTGAATTATTTCAGTAGACTCTATTCCTGTCTCATTTGACTTTCACTCCCTCTTCATGCCCACTCGCCCAATTCCCCTCAACCCCCACCCCAACAGCAGCCCCGTAGCGCAGCTCAACGCAAACAGATACCAGAACGCCGCACGGAACCCCTCCATGAGTGCTGCAGGACTTTCCTTCTCGATATAACCCGAATGCTCCGTAACACTAGACGCAATGACAGCACTGGTTGCCAGCCCTACACTTTTGCCGATTTGCGCTACCGTGTTGAAGACGCCGCCTGCGAGTCCCTGCGTCCGCGCTGGAAACACAGAGGTGATGACAAGGTTCGAGACTGTGAACAACGCATCCGCACCAATAGGATTGAAGAACACAGAAAGGAACGCGCAGCTCCAGTACGACCATTCCGGCTGTATGATGCACATAAGCAGCCCGCCAAGAGTCGTGCAAAACAATCCGACGGTTACCGCCCAGTCAGCTCGAACCCTGTGAGCAATCAGGCCCATTACCAGATTGGCGAGAGCCCCGGCTACTGGTCCGGGCAGGAATCGGATCGACGTCTGGATTGCTGATAGCTTCTGCACGTTCTGGAAGAAGAGCGTGTGGTACGACTCCACCGCATTGAAAGTTCCCCATGTGATGAAGACCCCGATGCAGATGATGCTGAAGATGCGGTTGCGCCAGAGTGAATTCGGGATGATAGCGGGCCGGCCCAGTCGTTCCTGCCTGCCAACCCAGAAAATGAATGCCGGGATGAGAGCAATCGCAGTAATGAGCAGACCGAGTGTCGTGGGCTCTCGGATTCTAGCAGTCTCTTCGGAGATCAAACTGAAGACATTAGCATCGAGCCATCAGATATGTGAGATCAACACTCACGCGAAACAGTATGAGAGGAGCGCCAATGATGCGCTTCCAAAGAGGATGCCGACCCAGTCAATGTCGCTCTTCAAGCGAGACCACACGTGTGGCTGCTTGTTGTCGACTTTTGGCAGACCGAACAGCCCGAGAACGAAGACGATCGTGTTAGTGATCGCACTGAGGTGGAAACCCCACCGCCATCCAATGGTATCAGCGAAGATACCCCCGAGCACGAGTCCAAAGGAGAAACCTATGGGTTGGCCACCGCCCATGGATGCAAATGCAATGTTTCTGCTCTTGCCTTCTGGAAAGGTGCTGGTGATGATACTGACAGCCGAGGGGAGGCAGAAGGAGATTGCTACGCCGGCGAAGGCACGGAAAACAATAAGCTGTGTTCCGGTCTGCGCCAATCCACATGCCAGTGTGAAGGCGGATTGGAGAAGACATCCTACCAAATACATAGGTCGGGAGCCGACGACATCGGCGACGGAACCGAGGAGGAGAAGAGTGCAGCCGCAAGTCAAAGCGTAGATGGAGATTGGCCTAGTGTCGTCAGTATGTGAGTATGGAATATGGGATCTGTCTACAAACCATAAGAGCACACTAGGTGCGAGCTCTAGTTCGCGTGCAACTGTAGGCAGAGTCACAGTCATGACACCCGACAGCATAGAGCTGACCATGGTAACACACACGACCGTCACCAAGACGATAGCAGTCGTTCCCTTGCCAGGACCATCCCGTTGTTCAGCAGCGAAGGAGTCCTGGGCCACATTGATAGGACGCAAATCCTCAGCTATCGAAGGCGTATCTTTGCTTCCCCCATTGCCCAATGGTTTGGCTGTGAGGGCTGGAATCGATGTCTCAGGATAGCTCACAAGTTCAATCGATGTTGCAATTTGTGACATGTTGGAGAAGAGGGATAATGAGTCGTTGGAAAAAAGGTGGTGGAAGATGAGTCGAGATTTGCACTACATATCCCTTGAGCAAGGAAATACTATGCGGCAACCCCTCCTATATAAGGGCAGACCGATGCCGGGAAGACAATAGTACCTGCGACATCATATTCCTCGATGTAGAGTCTGACTGCAGCTCTTGGCTACGCCTTGCATCCTTGTAGGGCGTGAGCGGCTGATTAGTACATGTTCAGTACCTAGATAGTTTGGCGCAGCCCACGGCAACTCCGTAAGTAGGCAGCAATGCGGCGGTAGCCATGTCATGATTTGGTGAATGGATTGGGAAACTCCTGCTAATGGTTCTTCCACAGCGCAAGAGCCGCGTCTAGATTCAGCCGGGCAAGTGAAGAGCGGAAGCTTTCCGTCGGGTGTGATGGCAGACGGAGGTTCGGCGGCGGGACTGACGCGATAAGGGAGCCGCGGCCTTATCGCGTTAGCGCCGTCATGGCTGCAGGGATCTGGTACCTGACACTTGGAGCTCGAGATGCTGGAGGGGACGCGGTAGAGGAGCAATTGTTTTGTACCATACGCAACTGCCATTTCTGTTTTCACTGCAGATTTCCGATGCGCTGAACTGTTTCATATCACGTGGCTAAACTCAAGCCTCGTTCTCCGGCCACTTCAATCCGACGTTATGCTACACGTTGCAACTTCTTGAGATCGGGAGTTGAACTTTCGAAACACCACGACTATCGCTCGTCATTGCTACACGCCACCACGATTCCTGCCGGGCTTAGGGCGGGTTTACACGATGCGAGCTTCAGCCTCTATGCTGAGCGCGAAAGCTCTCTTAGTGCTCAGCGCTTTCAGGCACGTTGGCTCGCATGCGGCTCGTCCAGGTGTCAGTGTCGCGCTTCTGGCTTCTTTCAATCCAGCTCCATACCTAGTAGAGTTGTTGTAAGCTTCGGGTGTGCCAAACGCAAGAGCTACAACTAACTCCTCCCAGAGAAACTGCTGCAGAAGAGAATGCGACGGCATACTACCCCATCCTCGACCGCGTATCCGAGGGGTACTTCGACGAGAAAACCACAGAGCAGGCGCTGTATACAGCCTTTGTGGACCTCCTGAAAAGCGATGGACACATCACCCAGCCTGAAGCCCTCGCTTCCTTCGATCTCGCTCTCTCCATCCGGTCGGCTGCGCCGCGGATAGAAGCACATTACCAGTTCTACAATACATCGGTGGAGCCTTCACTGAAGGCGGAGCAGAACGAGAAATGCGAGATTTGGGCATCGTTTCATGGGAAACAATACTGCTCCGTACACCTAGACGAGCCGTTCGGAGACATTGAGAGCGAGCGGTACGTACAAATGGCCTGGCCTATGGCAGACACTGAGACTCAAACAGGACATACAAACTACCCTTCGACCGCATACTTGGAAACAGCTCGGCTCTACCTGCGATTCTATACGCCGATATCACTGCTCCTCGATTCAAGAAATGGCACAAGACGTTGAGCGATACAGCCAAACAAGGAAAGACTTCGTACCGTGTCCGGCACAAGCCTTCGTTAAAGGCACCAACAACGCCGCTGGTAGTGAACGGATACGGTGTCGAGCTGCAGCTGAAGCGGACCGACTACATTGTCATAGACGACAGACAGGCTGAACAGGGAGAGAAGAGTGCTTCTCAAAAGCCAATGGGCACCGGCCTAGACGACGATGAAGATGTCGCAGACCTCAAGCCCTTGTCCAAGGACGAGGTATCCGATTTAGGGCTGAAGGCTGCCAGCTTTGTAACCCAAAGCGAACAGCCCATGGATACCCTCATGAAGCTCGTGCAAGACTTTCCGAAGTACTCGTCCATCATCGCAGCTCACAACGCGTCGGAAGACTTCCTGGAAGAACATCTGAAAAACCGCGAGCAACTCCTCCCTACGGGGTACAATGTCATCTGGATCAACGGTGTACAGATCCCGGCCCGCGATGTGAACCCGTTCTCGCTGCTGGCACACTTGCGCCGTGAACGTAAATTGATCAATGGGATACGCAGCCAGGGTCTCAGCGGTTCTGAGGTCATTTCATTGTTGTCGCATGATTCGATCGCCCAGACTCAGGCGGACGCTGAACCTCAACGTTATGACTTCAGAGATGCTACCGAAGGCGGCAACGTCATTTTGTGGCTGAACGACATCGAAAACGATCCAATGTACGAAGGGTGGCCAAGTGAACTCAGGGCTGTGGGTACGATCATTCATGTCGTTGATCGTGAGCTAATCATAATCACAGTTACTGCAAAGAACATACCCTGGTCAACTGCCATCTTGCCGCAGAGACATTCACAACGCCATCGTCGCTGTCGACTTGACTTCGTCCGAAGATGTTACGACCATGCTTGAGACTATACTCAGTCTCATTAGGCGTGGTATTCCACTGCGCTGGGGTATCGTTCCTCAGACCGCTACAACTGGTGCTCTTGAGCAGGCCAAGGTAGTCTACTATCTACATGACGCGTACGGACTACCCGCTGTGATTGAATACCTTCAAGTAGTAAGTGTTGAAACCTCTTACGAAGTCGTACGTTGCGCTGACGCGAAACAGTTGGCGGATGGCAAGAAGTTGGCACACGCAGATCAAGCCACCTTCGACGCGACAGTCAAGAAAACCGCGCTCCTCGAAGGAAAGGAGGCTTTGGCCTTTGATGACGTACTGAAGTCAGAGACGCTGGATCAGCGCATCACAGGTGCCAAACAGTACCTGAAGCGTCTAGCAGCAGAAGGCCCCAAAGCCCCCGTCTTTGTCAACGGCGTACCCATTCCAGCGACCGAAGAATGGCTCGGAACACTCAGCCAAAGAGTCGGCATGGATCTTCGTCAGATTCAACAAGCAGTCTTCAATGGTAATTTCAACAGCGATAGCTGGGTTCCACAACATTTCTTGGCCTCAGCTGCTGCTAAGCGCAATCCTCTTGTCATCCCGGAGAACGAGAAGAACATCACGCTCATCAATATGGCTGAATTTGAAGAGACCCATGGCGAGGCTTATAACAAGATGCCGCGTATTCATGCATCAGAGTCTGCTAGCAAGAGCGACTGGATTCACGTCACGCTCGTGGCGGATTTCAACTCGGAGGCTGGTTTTGCTCTTCTGAAAGCACTGGCAGATTTCCGTGAGGCAAACCCCAACGTAGAGGCCGTTCTTATACACAATCCGAAAGCCGGTGCGGAGCAGTCGAACGCCTCAGAAGACATTCTAGAGACTTACATCAAATCTGACCGTAAGCTTACAAGCGGAGCCCTCTCCGAGATCATGAACCGGGATGCCAACTACAGAGCAACTCCCGCCGACTCCACTCTGTTCTGGAAGGTTGCTGAGCCGATCTACGACGCGTTCGGTCTGAAGCCGGGACAGAACGGCATGCTTGTTAACGGACGCTTCGTAGGACCCATCCCAGAAGACTACGGATTCTCATACGATGACGTCGAAACGTTCGTCACTTATGAGCAGGTCAAACGCGTTGAGCCGTTGAACAAAGCGCTTGCCGATCTTGAACTCATGGAAAAGATCAAATCTCCTATAGATGTTGCGAAGATCCAGTCGCTGGTCGCACTTTCCACCGTGTCGGACGTTCCAGAAGGCATTTTCGAGACTGCATCAACCCTGAGGATGAGCACTTACAACAACTGGACTGCCAAGCACACCGCTATCTTCCGGGGTGACGAAGACAACGCTGTCTTCCGGATCGTGGCCTCAATTGACCCCGCGACAGAGCTCGCACAGAAGTGGGTACCAATCCTGAAAGTACTTAGCGACATGGAGGGCACACACCTCAAGCTTTTCCTCAACCCCAAGCAGATGCTCCAAGAGCTTCCTGTCAAGCGTTTCTACAGATACGTCCTCGAAGCTCGACCATCCTTTGTCGCCGATGGATCCATCGGAAGCCTTGGAACCCACTTTTATGGCATCCCCAAGGAGGCTTTGCTGAACCTTGGCATGGATGTGCCACCCTCTTGGCTAGTTGCTCCGAAAGAGTCTGTATATGATCTCGACAACATCAAGCTTAGTACCATTCCTGCTGGTGCCGATATCACCGCTGTCTATGAATTGGAGAACATCCTTATCGAGGGCCACTCTCGTGACACTACGAATGGTGGTCAGCCGCCGCGTGGTGCTGAAGTCGTTCTTGCCACTGAGCGGGATCCTCATTTCGCGGATACTATCATCATGGCTAATCTCGGCTACTTCCAGTTCAAGGCCACTCCTGGCTTTTACAACATTCAGCTCAAGAGCGGTCGCTCTCAGGAAGTTTTCAGCCTTGATAGTGCGGGTCCTATCAGCTGGGCACCTGTGCCTGGTGACGAGACTTCCGAGATCGCTCTCATGAGCTTCCAAGGAGCGACAATATTCCCTCGACTATCGCGCAAGCCAGGTCAGGAAGAGACTGATGTGCTCGCTCCCGCAGAGTCGCTCGCCTCTGAGCTGGTTGGCAAGAGCGCACAGAAAGTCAACAAATTCCTCGGCAAGATTGGTCTCAACTTCGACTCCGAGAAAGTCTTGCAAAAGGGCGCTGATCTATTCTCCGGAAGCAAAGCGGCGAAGAAGGGCACGCAAGCAGACATCAACATCTTCTCCGTCGCTTCAGGCCACTTGTACGAGCGCATGCTGAACATTATGATGGTATCTGTCATGAAGCACACCAAACACACCGTCAAATTCTGGTTCATCGAGCAATTCCTCTCTCCCAGCTTCAAATCCTTCCTCCCGCACATCGCCGCCGAGTACGGTTTCGAATACGAAATGGTCACCTACAAATGGCCACACTGGCTGCGCGGCCAAACCGAAAAGCAGCGCGAGATCTGGGGCTACAAGATCCTCTTCCTAGACGTCCTCTTCCCCCTCGACCTCGAAAAAGTCATATTCGTCGACGCCGACCAGATCGTGCGAACAGACATGTACGAACTCGTGCAACACGACCTAGAAGGCGCACCCTACGGCTTCACACCCATGGGCGACTCGCGCACCGAAATGGAAGGCTTCCGTTTCTGGAAAACAGGGTACTGGGCTAACTTCCTGCGTGGCCGGCCCTACCATATTTCCGCGCTGTACGTCGTAGACCTAACCCGCTTCCGCCAACTCGCCGCCGGCGACCGCCTCCGCCAGCAATACCACGCCCTCTCCGCGGACCCCAATTCCCTCTCTAACCTCGACCAAGACCTACCCAATAACATGCAGTTCAACCTCCCCATCCACAGTTTACCCCAGGAGTGGCTGTGGTGCGAGACTTGGTGCGCTGATGAGGATTTGCACAAGGCGAAGACGATTGATCTTTGTAATAATCCGCAGACTAAGGAGCCGAAGTTGGAGAGGGCAAGGAGGCAGGTTCCGGAGTGGAATGTTTATGATGCGGAGATTGCGGGGTTGGCTAGACGTGTGAAGGGGGAGGAGAGGGGTGGGAAGGTGGGAGGGGTGGTGGATGTGCAGGAGGAGGAGCAGAGGAGGGAGAAGGTGGTGAAGGATGCTGAGAGGGAGGGGCATGGTGAGTTGTAAGATGGAGGATAGATGGTCGCAAGAAGAAGAATGGCTTGGTGTGAGAGGGATGCGAGATAAGTTACGATATTAGAGGTGCCGCAATCGCACGAAATTTCACCGCATGTTCCTCTGTACTTGCTAAGGCTGAGTGATGCTCTTCTAGTCGGGATTGAAGCCCCTTGAGGGGGGCTGTGTGACAAGGTGATTCGGTTACGAGTAGGTATGGGCATTGGAAGCCTGCGTTGCGTAAAATGTTTGCGACACCCTGTTAGCTACATCTTCTACCTAATCTCTTTCTTTAAAGGGGCGTCAGAATGAACCTCGTAAAATGTTTGCTAGTCGGGCACAAGTCGCAATCCCTGCTCCTTCATACCTAGGTAATCGTTGTTCTTCCCCGGTAGATGGACATAATGAATAGGGTGCGCCTTCGACCCAGACTGCGGTCTTGTCCTTCGGGCAGGTCATTGAGATGGTACTTTGGTATACGGTATGATTGCGATAGGTTTGATGTAGATGAATAGAACGGAGACCAGACGTTGACAAGGTTGACGATAGGAACACGGACTTATGTACCGCATGTAATAACGACAGGAATACCCTACCCAAAACTCATGCTTGAAATCAGCAATGGCAATGGTTGATGTTCCGAGTGGCATCGTGACGCACCTGCGCCTTGCCATCGAGAAGGGCCGATAGAGCCGTTTCTCCCGACCACCCTTTACGATGATCGACAACCACCACGCGATGCGGTCATTACACTCCCACATCTGCACAGCGAGTGCAAACACCGATAACAGGTTTTCGCTCTATCCAATATCGGAAACTATGGGTACGTTGGTGAGATGAGACAGTTACCACACACGATCGGGTCTCGGCTCCCTTAGCGTATACCGGTGGCTACGCCGGCACGGCTGTACCTGGGTTGGGTGGAGAAGATAGGTTCGTGCCAAGACAGGTATGACATAGGTGGTCCAGCGGACAGATGACGCTGAAGACGTAATGTGGAGGTACTGCAACAGGCTGGCTGTGTGTATGTCATTGGGGGGTATATAAGGCTGGGTGCTGGTGTCTATGAAAGGCTATACATCATCAACCATTCATCACAAAACAACTCGCATCTATCTCAAGCACAACTCCCTGTACACTTACCCAGCCAAACTACACATCACACCCCCATCAAACATGTCTGGCCAAGGAGTTTCCCACCAGGGCATCACCGCCCCCGGTCTCAGCGAGGCGGACCAGAACATCAACAACACCACCGAGGACATCAGCAACAAGGCTTCGGGTCACAAGGCAAACTTGAGCAACCCCAGTACGCATTCCCTGAGATACCTAGCTGCGTGTTTGATGAGATGAGAGACTAACGCGTGATGCAGACACCAGCGAAGAGTCCAAGAAGAAGTCTGCTGAGGCACTCAAGGCACTTGGTGGTGAGGACGCCTTCTATGGAAAGCAGGGTAAGGGCGAGTAGGGGATTCTATCCTTGCCTGATGAAGGGGGAATGAAGTTATGATACCATATTGAGATGAGAATATAATGTCTTTCAACGTCAATGATGCGCGCGCCTGAATGCTGCATGAGTGATGTACAGCTTATTCCCATGCTCCATCGTGCTGTACAAGTATGCTTTCAGGCGCAACTAAGGAATCGAAGCTCATAGTCGGCTATCGCATGCGTGAAAAGCGGCATGAGAACGAGACGATGGACCATCGCGTCGGCGTTCTTTCCACGCGGAAAGCGATGACGTCATCAGCATCATCGTCTCCTTCCCCACACATCTCCACCCCAGCCCTGCAGCCTCACCAAACATCCATCAACAACACGAAACACCCATCTTGACTCGACCTCCCATCTCATACCTCCCCAGGTACCACCTCACACTCCCCAATCATGACATCCTCAACCCCCTCCACCACCCCCTCCATACCAACCCTCCACACCAAAGCCGAGTACCTCAAAGCCGTCATGTACGAAGGCGTCACCATCCTCCAAGGCACAGCCACCTGGTGCAAGAACTGCCACATCGTCGCCCCTGAAGTCGCAAAGATGGTGGCGGAGTACCCAAATGTCAAGTTTTACACGTATGATGTGGAGGAGTGTGAGGATATTGCGCAGGAGCTGGGGGTTAGGAGTATGCCGAGTTTTAGTGTGTTTAAGGATGGGGATATTATGGAGGGGGTTACCGGGGCGAGGCCGAGGGAGGTTAGGAGGGCTATTGAGGGGTGTTTGTAGGAGGGGGTGGTGGTGAGAGGGGGAGTGAGGGGAGTGGTGGAGGTGGGGTGAGAGGCGAGGCTGGCGGCGATGAGAGAAGGGGCTGGCGATGTCGGTCCAGATGTCTAAGGGATATGGTTCATGGTATGAGGGAACTCCTTCGTCTTATCGATGTTCGATTCGTTGTCTACATATGCTCATTAAAAAGCGGTCAAGTTGCGGTACCCTGTCACGTAAGTGAAGGCGGCTTCTACAAGCGAACAGCCGTTTGCGCACGCACTCTCGCACACTGAGCAGACTATTGCAAAACTTTCCGTCGACCATTGTGTTACGCCTGTTTCATCGCAGGAGATCTCCCTTACCGGTTCGACAGCGAACCCCTCTACACGATACGATTTCCGCGACGCGTTCCATCTTCGACAGCGACTTGTCAGATTATCCCGCAATGTCACCAGGATCGACGACACTGTTGGATCTGGAGCGGGGGATCAAAAATAAACAGTTCTCGCTGGCATTGTACGAGCAGGCGGCTGCGCGACTAGGCGACACGGCTGGAGAGGAGTGGAAGTCATTCCTCAACACCGTAATCCTTGGGCTCAAGACAAGCCTACAGGCTTTGGAAGCACAGTATACCAGTATTACGGCGAGGCAACATACTCAGCGTCTTCACGAAGATCCTCATGTACCAACAATCTCGATCGCAGAACTGACGCGAGTCGTCTCTGAAGAGGCAGACGCTCGGGATGATCTACTCGCCAACATGCGGACGTTGGAACGTATCGGAAAGAAACGAAACGGTTTCGAGCAGGAGCTTCAAGAGAAGCTGCAATCGATGAAACGACGTTTGCAGCTCCGATCTTACGCAAGCCGCGATGCGGCGATGGATATGCAGGACATCGAGGACATTCAAGAAGACATCCTACACTACAAAAAAAGGATTCAAAGTATCACTTCCGATTATGAGCATCTTGTAACAAGAGTGTGTGATACGATGATGGCGGCGAATCGTGCAGCAAAGAGTCATCTCACAGTGCCAGGGCTTGGCAGATGGGCCCCTGTGCATGCGCCCGTCGCAGTCACTATTACACCTGACCCTGCAAGCAACACAGTCTCTACCGCCACCGCACAGACGGCTGTCACAGTCACAGCTGCGCAAGTCAGAGTCTCAGATATACATTCCCAGGTTGAAGCTTCCGCCGGAGGTGTCCAGATGGGTACAGTTTCTGGTGCTGTAACCTCTAGGCCCAGAACGAAGACCGCTATCGTCAAGTTGGACGAAAGACTATCAAGTCTCACACTATCTCCCCGCCTGGAACAATATGCAGATGTCAAGCCAGTTCATCAGCAACAGTTCAACCTTGGCGACATTGGCTGGTTCCCCGTTCTACGTCCGTCCTGGTCTTCATCTTCCAAGGACATCCATACTGAATTCGGTTACATTTGCGCCAAGTCCTATCCACTGATCATTGTGGAAAAGCTGGACGACTGCATGTTGGGTCTGATCATCTCCACGTCGCATGGAAATGGGTTGCGTCTGAAAGGCGATTCTGTCAGGGATCGAAGCGTTCCCGTCGTCGACCAGTTTCCAGTCTTTGCCGTGGAGGAGGGATGGGGCAGCGATCTTTTTCCCAGGCAAACAGTTCGGGTCGCGAACCTCGGTGGTGAATTCCATCCACTCGCAGGCAGTTACGTCGATATGCTGAACGCGGTTATGGTGCCCTACGACTCAAGGTTCCAGAAGAAGGGGTCCGTCATGAAGGACGACGTGATTACTCTGCAGCGCATGAGACTGTCGGCAGTCCTCACAAACTCGCAAGCCGGGGCACTCATGAAAAACAACAGATTTTGGAATTACATGACAGGATGGGAGAAACATGTGGCGAATACAGAACATATGTGTCGGCGGCGGGATGACATCCTTACGGAGATGGTGTCGCGAGAGCAGACGCAATAGGTTATGGACTTATAAGTCAAGGTGTTACTTAATCGCAGGCCGAAGATTGCGGTTGGTCCTCGTTCTTCGCGTTGGGGAATCAGGCTGTTACTTCATTTGCGACATCAAGAGATGTACATACACTGCATATTACCTAGGTAGTGTCAAATTTTTCCACTGTACCTGAGAGAGAGTAATTTTGGTCGATACCCATTTCTGGAAGGATACAAGGCTTACATGGATGAAGACGAGCAGCTACGCTCACTCGAAGGCAATAATTGTCGGGGGGATGCATCTTGTGTCTTGCTTTTGCTACGCAGGCCACACTTGTGGATAATGTTTTGGTGCGTTTTTTGGGAATTAGAGAAAAAAGACTGATCAAGCTGCTGTTGCTGCACCTCTATACACATGTATGCCTAGGTAGAGTAGCCATCACTGCGCTCATCGCAACCCCAAATCCTCCTCCCATCGCATCACAACGCGTCCCATCCCAACTCGATCCCCACCCCCAGTCCACCCCACCAATCTCCATCCGGCCATCGCACAACACCCCAGTCCCCGCTGACCACACCCAAGACCCTCCCGTCCCATCCCAGCCAATCACCATCGTCTCTGAAATTGCCGGGTAAGCCCAGCACAAGGGTAGCGAGCGGGGAACACCCGACCTCCACAGACTCCACCACTACACTCGAAATGCTGACCATCGTTTTTATGTTCTCAAAGGCAAGCTGTAGCGAAGGAGGCTTTTCGGCGTAATCGTGATATATATCCAGCCAGTTGGGAGGTATTGGCCGAGCCGTGGCGACAGGATATGGGGAATTGACGAATGGGAGAAGAGGATTGTGGACACGGAGACCGAGACGGGCGGCTTGGGAGACGGGGAGTTAGATGGATGAGTGGGCGACCAAGAAGAGGGCGTTCGAGGTCGTGTACCCCGCCGTGCATGTGCATGTGGAGGAGAGGTGGTGAGCGATGGCGGACAGGGAAGCTGTCGAGTTGATAAGCACAGTGTACCCTGGGGTTGAGGTGCAAGGTTGATATTGATACACGACTACACTACCTACCTCCACTCCACCAGTCATCCCATAGACACAGCTACTACAGCCAATCATGGCGACAACAACAGTGACCTCGCACAGCACAGACTCCGATCGCATCGACAAGGAGCCCCATCTCGCACACACATCTACCAACATCTCAATCAGCCCAGAGCTCTTCGAGAAACTGTATCTCGCGCCCAAGACACCACATGCAAATGAGAATGTCGGAAAATATGCTAATGCGACACCTTTGGGCTTCTTGGGGTGAGACACTCTTTACAATATGGACGGTGTCGATACTGAAGACCGCAGATTCGTAATCTCAACCTTTACATTCTCCATGGTACTAATGGGTTGGGGCGGTGCCGCCGGAATGCAAGCAGTCGTGTACGTCTTTCCACCTTCCCTCCCTCCACCCCTCCCAGACCCCCCTACTCCCCCTGCTAACCTCCCTCACAGCGGCATATTCTTCTTCACAGGCCCCCTCCTCCTAACCCTCTCCACAATCTTCCTCTGGATCCAATCCCAATTCTTCCCCATGATGGTCTGCGGCCTCTTCGCCGTCTTCTGGCTCTCCTTCGGCATGTTGCAACTGCCCACGCTCAATCTGGCCGCCTCCTACTCTCCTTCCGGCGACGCCGCAGCCGGCATGGTGAGCCAAGAGATGAACGCGGTGATTGCGTTGTATTTGCTTGTTTGGGGGTTTGCGCTAGCGACGTTCTGGCTGTTTACTATCCGGATCAACATGGTCTTTGCGGGTATCTTCGGGTTTGTGACGGTCGGGGCGTGGGTGTTGAGTGGGGCTTATTGGGCGTTGAGTAGGGGGGATTTTGAGAGGGCGGGGAGGTTGCAGAAGGTGAGTTACACTGGCAGTTTTTAGGTGCCATTACTGATGCGCACAGGCTGGTGGAGCGCTCTTGTTCATAGTAGGCCTTCTGGGCTGGTACATGCTCTTCGTCATCATGGCTGCAGAGATGCGCTGGTCTGTATGTCCGCCTGTTGGAGATCTTAGCAAATACTGGGCGAAGACAGATGTCGAGATTGGTGCGAATGCAAGCGAGAAGAAAGATTGAGCATGGGATCGTGTCTTTTGAAAGCGACACTGATGTTATGTAGATGGTGCGGTAATACTTCGCATGTAATTGCTGATGTAAAACGTTTCACAAGGACGCAGCTCGACGAGCAAACGAACTCATGGTCCTACAGTCCCCGCGACCTTCTTTTCCTGCAACTCTTTCCTGTCGCGTCTCTGTACAGCAACGGTCTTACTGGTGTACTTTCTCTTGTCTACCGACGGAATGAAGAACGCGGCGACCACTCCCAGCAGACCGAACGCCAAGGCTACTAGATACGACAAATGCGCACCCTCCAAGTATGCTTGCTTATTCCCTAAACTGGCTGCAGCTCGAATAGCAGGAGTTATACCTGGGATAGCTTGGTACCCGGCAGCTGTGTTTGCTCTCGCCGCGGTGATCAACCGAGTAACAATGTCCGACGAAAGGTTGAAAGGAGCAAGATTGGCACGAACGCGCGCAGGTAAGGCGTCTCCGTACTTGTTGTTCGTAACGTTTCCAAAGATGGCGGTAGCGACAGCGCCAGCCAGAAGACGAGAGGTTCCCGCAAGACCAGCTGCAGTGCCTATATCTTCCTGGTAAACGATCCCGAAGCCTACCAAGACCATGCCGTTCAAAAGGTTGACAGAGGTACATGTCGAGATGATGACTGTCAGGATGATTGACTTGACCGGATTGTCCATTGTAGAAGTAGACATGGCACCGACACAGGCTGTCTGCAACGCGACGGCGAACATGATGACCCAACGTTGGTGACCGATGACTTTGCTAAAAGCCACGATGATGCCACCAATGATGGTTCCGAGCGGCAGAACTTCGGCGTATAAACCTTTGGATATCTCGTCGGTAGCGTAAATGAGTTGGGATAGGCGTGGCCACAAGGTTGCGTTCGAGTAGTATTGCATTCTGTAATCTATTAGCATAAGCCATATAATCGAGTGGATCAACATACCCGCCTATGGCCATGACCAGCATAGGAACAGTGAAGTGGCGTAATGCTCTGAAGAGACGTGGCGGGAACAGTGGTGCTGTTATATTATAGTAGGCCTCGTAGAATCCCAGACCGATCAAGGTCACCAGTCCGATGATGATAGGTGCGAGAACTGTCGCAGAAACCCAAGGAGCCTGAGATCCACCCCAGCTGACACCAACAATGAAAAGTGTACACCCAGCCAAGAATAGGAATAGTCCCAACCAGTCGAATTCGCGTAACAGTTGTCCAGCAGTCTTGCCATGTTCAGCCTTCTTATCCTTCCAGGATGGCGGGTGGTAGAAGAAGAACAGAAGGACAAGGTTGATAGCCTGGAAGCCTATCATGACATAGTAGCAAATGCGCCAGTTGCCCGTTTGCTTGATGATGACCCAACTGACCAACGGCATGATCTGCGCTATGATCGAGGCGGCATCAAATAATCCAATGGTGACATGACGATATTTGCTCGGCACGATCTCTTGGACAGCACCAAATGCCATCTCCAGGAATCCGGAACCGCAGCCGAACAAGGCACCACCGGCGATCATTTGGTTGATGCTTTGTCCGGTTGCTGAAACGATACTGCCGATGATGAGGATGATTGCTCCAGCGATGAAGAACCATCGTCTTCCGAATATGTCTGAAAGTCGTCCACCAACAGTGACAAACATGGCGCCACCAAGATTCCACGATATCGTGATCCATGTGTATCTAGGGTCTGGGCCAAGATCGGCGTTGATGTACGTGAGGATCGCCGGTGGAATGAGGAGAGTGAATAGGTAGGCGTTGTAGCACATAGCCATGGACACGGCGGCCATCAATGTGCGAACTGGGATAAGTTAGATATGACTGGGTGGCCAGTCTGGATGTTGGGCATTACGCACAGGTCATGCCAACATCTTCACCGGTGGTTTGTAGATGGCGGACGATCTCTTCGTTGGCGTCATTGATGGAGAAGTAGTTGTCGTGATCCGATGTATTCGTGCTATGCTCGAGCGCTTCGATGTGTGCCACCGAGGGCTCGCGGTCTCCTTTCGCAGCCATAGCGTAGCAAGCGACGATATAGAAGAGTACTACGAAGTACCTAAAATATCCGAATCCAAAGCTGGAGGATCAGCACTGTCATAAATACCGTCCCGCTGTTCCTAGTATGATCCGTCAGCTACCCCAGAATTCACCCCGAACATCCCCACCCATGTGTGGAGATAGCGACATGGCACTTATGCACATGCAAGCGACTCAAAATTCTAGTACGCTTGGGTGTTGTACTGATATGAGCATAAGCACCGTCATTGCCGGTTTGGGTAAAGAACTGCATTTTGTGTGGCGTCAGTCAGGAAATGTGATTGGTCACGGCTCCTGCGGTCGGAAAAACATAGCCAATGCCGATTTAGCATACCCGGTGTAGGCTATCGTTGTCCTGTATGCGCAACAGTCAGCAGAGGCTACGCCCTGGAGGTCGCTGTCGGAGCTTTAGTGTCCCTATATAACGTGGTGTGCCATCCACCCAATACATCTCTTCCGATCTCTGGTCTCGTATTCGAACGCCCTTGAGAAAAGATATGTGATCGCATTCGCTCGTTCTTGTAGGATGAGACGTGGTATCGTCTGATACGCTGCGTACTTGAACTGCGATGGTAGGTATGAGTGGAAGAACAAAGATCAATTTATGCCATAGCCGGATATCGCGAGTATGTCGTAACGCCATCAAATGCTGTATCCACAAACGCCGCCCAAAAGAAGAAACGGAAATCTCATAGGGCCTCGAGTTCGAAGTCGTCCAGCTTGTCGCGGTACTTCATGATATTGCGCTTAATCTTGGAGGAGTCGACCCATGTGACGAAGTCTTCCATATTCCTCGAGACCAGGTAGGCTGGGTCTGTGATGACATCGGTTCCAACTCTTACGTGCTGTGTGTTTGTTAGCTCCTAGCTGCATCTAGGGAGATGACCACTAAAGAAATTATGTCAGGAATCCAGTGTACTTACCCCTTGTTCCACAAGTGTGACAGCAGATTGTACGTGATCTGCCATGCGTAGCCGGGTCATGACGACTGGCAATCTCCTCCGTGCGAATGCGCTCACTGTAAGCTTGTGCTCGACATCGGATAGTTTTCCACGGCCGCCACCACCAGTTCCCAGCAAGCCCATCGAGAACAGCTTCTCCAGTATCAGATCCTCTTGCTTGGCGCGGAAGGGATCCGATGGGTCGAGGTTGGCGATTCTGTGGGCGAGTTGTCGCAATGAGCCGGCGAGCTGGTTGTATTTTCGGTAGTCGTCGCGTCCTTGGATTGCGTAGCGACGCATGACTGCGGCTTCCCGGTGGTCATTGTCGCTTTTGTAGGTGTTGAAGTCGACCTGCGAAAGGCGTTAGTAACTCTCAATAACTCTTTGTCTCCCCATGTACTGGAGAGAGCGCCGCTGGGCATGGCGAGAATAGCGGCTGTTCGCGCGGCGATCCAGACGGCGATGCGCAACGGTGGTGGAGCGGAACAGGGAGTGCATACCTTCTTCAAGAGCTTCTGCTCATGATGCTTAAGTTTGCGCACCATGTTGAGGAGGCGGTGATGAGGTTGTGGTGGGTGGTGGGTCGTGAGTGCTTGCGATGGCTTCGCGACGACGATGAAGATCCAAAGAATTATTTGACAGGGGTGCAGCGGGCGCTAGCGGTAGCGTTCCTGCCCCTCCAATGACGCGTGGGGTGCATCCAAATTGCTTTTCACTCTTCGAGTCAAACATCCTACTATCATTCCTCTGAACGCATCCACGAATATGCCGACAGTTCACTTGCTCGACTACGTCGCCGGCAACGTCCGCTCCCTCGTCAATGCCATCGAGAAGGTTGGCTACACGGTCGAATGGGTCAAGACGCCCGCGGACGTGCCCTCTGCCGAGGTACCACCGCCCTCTCACCAAGACGCGCGCAACAATTGACAAGTGCTGATGCAGCATCGCCCCTAGAAACTCATCATTCCCGGCGTCGGCCACTTCGGCCACTGCATGTCCCAGCTAGAGAAAGCCGGCTACGTCGAACCCATCCGCGAACACATCAGGGCGGGGAAACCTTTCATGGGAATATGCGTCGGTGTTCAGGCATTGTTCGAAGGCTCGGAGGAGAGTCCTGATGTCAAGGGACTGGGCGTCATTCCTATGCGACTACGGAAGTTCCAGGACGCAGACAAGAGCGTACCGCACATCGGATGGAACAGCGCAAACACATCGCGCACCGGAGAAGTCACGGATGACTCATTGTACGGGCTGCGACCGACGTCGAAATACTACTACGTCCACTCCTACGCCGCGATATATGAGGAGGGTCTGCTGGAGAAGGATGGCTGGGCAGTCGCTACAGCACGGTACGGCGACGAGGAGTTCATCGGCGCAGTCGCAAAGGGAAACATCTTCGCCACACAATTCCACCCTGAGAAGAGCGGCGCAGCAGGACTTCGCGTCCTAAAGGCTTGGTTGGATGGCAACATGTCACAGAAGCTACCGGAAAAGCCATCTGCCGCCGAAACAAAAGAAGGCCTAACAAGACGCGTCATCGCCTGCCTCGACGTACGCACCAACGACCAAGGCGACCTCGTAGTAACAAAAGGCGACCAGTACGATGTCCGCGAAAAAGAAGGAGCCGGCGGCGGAGTGCGCAACCTAGGCAAGCCCGTCGAAATGGCAAAGAAATACTACGAACAAGGCGCCGACGAAGTCACCTTCCTGAACATCACATCCTTCCGCAACTGCCCCGTAGCCGACACACCCATGCTCGAGATCCTGCGCCGAACCAGCGAAACCGTTTTCGTGCCTCTGACGATCGGCGGAGGCATACGCGACACGGTAGATACAGACGGAAGCAAGATCTCCGCCCTCGACATCGCAACCATGTACTTCAAGTCCGGCGCAGACAAAGTAAGCATAGGCTCCGACGCCGTGACCGCAGCGGAAGAATACTACGCGCGAGACAGTAAACTCTCCGGCACCACAGCCATAGAAACCATCTCATCTGCCTACGGCAGACAAGCCGTCGTCAT